CTTAAATTTACCTGCCAAAAGATTTGCTGGGGGTGGACAAACTTGTGATGGGCTACTTGTTACTACATATATTTTTTTAAATATTTCTTTCCAAAATTTGCCTAATTTGAGTGTATAATAATAGTTTCAGTGGGTAATTAATAAAAATTTTTAAAATAAATAAAATAACCTAGAAAGCTTCTAGAATTGTTTATTTTTTGTGGAGAAGAATAGGATATTCTTATGATTGAAGGTAACAAACATTAAAAATTACATTATTCATTGAATCCGTATGCAAGTGTGAAGAGGAATGGCTAGATTATTTATTATACCGTATAAGTCCAGAAAAAACGACGATGGGAACGAAGCGTAAAGTTATGGCGATCGACATTCCCATATAATTTTACATATAAATGATAGCGATCTTCATTTTTCATGCTTCTCCGCTGACGCCGTCTTTTTTTTTTTCGGTGTCGTTTTGTATAGTCATTTTATATGTAGAATTATATAGGGAATATCATCGATCGTAATTTACAAGCCAACTGGACGTCGTTTTTTTCGATTATACGGTATAATAATGAATCTAGTCAATTCCCTTCACACTTGGCAGTTCAATGAATAATGCTAATTTTTTAATATTCATTTTGTGAAACTGTCATTTCCAAACAAACAAGACGCCGTTTTTCGATCATACAGTATATATGTATATACACGTTTTAAAACATATGTTATTACATTATTTTTTATTTAATTGCTACATTATACACATTAATAAATAAATAATTGTCTTGATAATCAGTTCACTGTGACTGTTAAAAAAATTTTGCATTATCGGCGATATTTAATATTATAAAGATTGAGACTATAAAATGCAAAATTGTATACATTACTCAAAATGAACGATATATTGGTTACGTTTTAATAAATATTTTGTACCGTCTAGGTACAAGCTAATTTCTGATGATACGCCATTGGAGAATTTCGCGTGGTGACAACTTGCCTCACTTTCAGCTGCCGTGTTACCTGTCCCCTCTCTTTCCTTGTCTAAGATCAGAATATAATTGGAAATTTTTATGGAGGGCTTAAAAGACTCCATAGAAATTTTCAATTTTCGGTTTTGGATCGACGTAGATCGACGACACGTCGACGGCCTTGAAGCTCGGTTAAATATGCACAGTTGCCAGATTCAAAAAGACTTTAATTGGCATCCCATTCTTTTTCTGGTGTATAATAATTTCTTTCTATTCTTCGTTTGACTAAAAAAATACTATAATAACAAATTTTTTCTGTTTGCCACGTTATTTATATAGACCTAGGTAGATTTTAAAAAGTGACACAGGTACAATTAATAATATATTAGTTCGGCATAAAAATTGCTGTCACGACATCGTACAATAAATTAAAATTCGTAAACATTAACATTCGTTAAACAAATCTTTATAAAGAAACGCAAGTATATCAAATTTGGGCCCAATCGAACGCCAGGAAATGGTATCGTAATATGGTACTACATTATGGTACCCCTTCATATGCTTCATGGTATTGCATAATATTGCAATGTCATCAAAAATACGCAAGTATAATCAAATATGAGCCCAATCGAACGTCAGGAAGTGGTACCGTAATATGGTACTATATTAAGGTACCAAATTATATGCACCATAGTCCCATCATATTACAATGTTACCGAAGATACTTACTATATCAAGTATAAGTCCAATCGCACGCCAGGAAATGGTATCGTATATTGTACTATTATGCTACCTCTTGATATGCTTCATGATGCCATAATATTGCAATGTCATTAAAAATATGCAAGTATATATCAAATATGAGCCCAAATGAACGTCAGGAATTGGTATCATAATATGGTACTATAGAAGGTACCTCTTTATATGCTCCATGGTACCATAATATTACAATGTCACTGAAGATACGTAATATACCAAGTTTAAGCCCAATCGAACGCATGTATCGTAATATGGTACTATATTACGGTATCGCTTGATATGCTTCATGGTACCATAATATTGCAATGTCATGAAAAATACGCAAGTTTATATCAAATACCGTCCGATACCGAAAAAAACGGCGTCCAGTTGGCTGGGAAAAGACGATTCCATATAAATTTACACATAAAATGACAGCGATTTTCATTTCATAGCCATCGCTAACGCCGTGTTTTCCCGATCATACGGTATGAACACAATCGAACGTCAGGAAGTGGTGTCATAATAGTCGAATTACAATCAAAATTCAGGATTCATTTAGAATCAAACATCAGGAAGTGATTTTAATTCAACTCGTAAGATTTAACTCCAACTAACATGGCAAGTTAAATACTTATATTTATTTTAATATGTTTAAATGATGTAGCAAATTTGAAGGTAGGCTTTATCAGGAAGTAAATGGCAACACTGCATAAAATTCTTTTAAATTTTGTTTGTAGAAAACTGTTATCTTTTAAATTGATCGCCCTCTATTATGTAGTAGCGAAACTACCGCATCAAAATATCTGATTTGGAGACAGGCTTTAAAAGCCTGTCTCCTTTTGAGACCTACGATTTTATACATGTAACGAGGCTTCTGTTGCGTAGCTAGATATTCTGTGCTACTGGTACCTCTACACCATAGAGAAATATAAAATAAAAGAGTTGTCATTTCCATAGTCAAAAGTAGGCAACACGTTTAACGAGGATCGATTGTAGCGTACCCTTGAGCCCTAACTGAACTAATTGAAATATGACAGACGTTATCGGTAAAATAGGTATCTGCATTGCCTACCACAAAAAAGGCGGGCTGTTTAAATGTGAATATAAAATTTTATGTATTTCATGGCTGGGAAACTTAAATGGAAATGACGGTTCATTAAAAATAGTTTTTCCTCCAAGATGCAGAGGCGCAAAATATCAAAACTGTCAATATTAACAATGCAAATGTCAATATCTGACAATAATAAAATTTGATTTTTAACTGTCACTCAGAGACGCTTTTGTTGTGATTTTACGGTTTGATTTCGTTTTGATTTGTCGAATTATTGTAAAATTAAATTCCTTCAGAGGTTTTGCCAGTATTCTGTTTTAGACAATGTTTTTTAAAAATGGTGGGACAATTTGTGTTTTGTATAGACTCTTTAATTATTTTTTATCATGGAGTTTAATTGTTGTACACCTGGTTTCCGAAGGATACAATGGTAAGTAAATTAAATATATCTACTTACAGTTATAGATTTTTTAAATTAGTACTGCTAATAAATGCTAATTGCTGAGCAGTTATTTAATTTTTTTACGGTGCATGTAAGGAATTAAGGATGCGCGTTGCGTTATATTAGCATGATCAGCAGATGATTAAATCTAATTTAATTTGTTTTTATTATTTCAGGTCTCAAACGGAAACAAACTGGGAATCAAATTATATAGCCGTTTCCAATTCACTTCAAAGGGAGGAAAATTATGTAAAACTGCCTGCTATTTGCTGAAAACCGCCAAAGATTAAATTATAACTGTAACAACTTAATATATACTATTTCTAGTCTTTTTAATATATTTTTTAATTAATATCCGACATATGAGAACACTTTGTATGCTTTTAATTAAGTTGATTTATCGTTTATAATATGTTCGACCTAATTAAAAGCAGACAAAGTGTTCTTACATGTATGTTTAAATTTATTTTAAATTAACTAAAACAACCCCCCTTCCCCGCGCCCCTCTCTTCCATTAGTATTTCTTCCTCCGACTACCAGAGGCGCTCTTGTATAATAAAATTGAAATGTATTATAAGTTGCCTATCTATTTAATAGTATAAGCACAGATAACATATTATGTGTTATCTGTGGTATAAGTCTTTTATCTATGATGTATTTTTAAAAATATTACGAAATTAAAACTGCAAAAAATATAATGAAAGTTTATTTTTAAAAACGGAATATTTGAAAAGTATAAACTATTGTACACTTTTCAAATGCTTACAGTTAAATGCTAAATTAAATTTGATAATATAAAACATATATGCTGAATTAACTTCGAGGGGTAAACTCCTGATGAATTTCTGTACACTAATGCCAAAGTAATGCCAAATAATTTAGTACTAATACCAATAATGCAAATCTTGTACACCACCAAAATACACCAGCGGTTTACCCTTCGATTTACCTATAGTATTATAAAACGTATTTAACAACGCCACTAACAAAGCATATAAGATCGCAGGGTTTGCAATCTATGCTATTATAACAGATAAAGATTTAAATAAGACATCAAAAATTAATTCACCTTTAAGTTGAATTTATAAACTCAGCAGTCAGCAGTTGAAGTTCAGTTGAGGTAGCAAATGTTCAACACTATTAAATGAAGGCGCAAATTTATAGTCAGTTCGTTTTACGTTCACAGAGTTCAGAGATGGGCAATGTCTTTACATATCGAACTTGCTTTGCATGATACCCTTTCCTGGATCGTGTTCAAATCACATCATCGGCTGAACAAAATATTACATGATGATGGCAAAACACAGCACAAAATATAAAGTTCAAATCATAGAGAAATATAAGGTCTCGGTTCCTCGGGAAATAAAACTTCGTCCATAATTTCTGTACGCACAAACACAAAACAAACAAAGTTTATGCTACACAAAATAATAACAAAATTCCAAAATTCAAAACAAAATTGTAAACAATTGCAAAATACAAATAATTTGCTGTCATGTCACTTGTCATTCTTGTAATGACACGTGACAGGTAGCAGGTGGCGACGCTTTGGAGGCCTAACTGAACTATGCAACATTATGGCCAAGTTAGACAACCTTTCAAACACTCTTTTATTTTAGTTACTTTATGCTCTACACTCCATAGCTACTGGGCAATTGCCAGCTGATTACAAGTTATTTTGGAATTATTTTCAGTAGAAAACAAATTGTTTTTTCCAGTGCTGTCAATTGTATCTATTATTTATATTATTATTTTAATATTTTGCACAACACGTGAATGATTATTATGTATTTTTATAGCCAATAAAATTAAATAGAAATAAAACTCTAGATTGCTATAATTAATCTAATTATTCTAGATTATTATGCTACGTTTAAAAATTGCTTTGTTAAAAATTCGTTAAATTAAAAGGGGTGTGTAAAAGTTTCTTCTTTTTTTGAATTTTTAAATGCTGTAACTCCATATCATGTTCATAATAGGTTTTATTACATTCCATTATACGTAGGCCTTAAAAGGGCCTTTTAGCTTCCGTAACTATAACTGTAGAATCAGCAACATTAAATAGAGGTACCTTGTTTAATTCTGCTTATACATATATTGCATTAATTTTTCTGCTACCTTAAGATTTTTCTATTCTTACACTTTATGTGATTTTCTTAACATATATAATTTATAAATAATATTTTTAGTAATGGAAGGATATGCAAGTATTAAGATACCGTGAAATGGGGTGACTTTGCCTCTTGGGGTGGCTTTGCCAAATTCCGTCCGAAAATATGTTAGACGTAGCCGTAGCCACTACTTGAAAAGAACGCGTTATGTGTTATTGGTAAATTATGGGTGGAAGCGCCCCACGTCTCGGAACGTCGCTAAACGCTTGCCGTCAGTTGCGATGTAGCATTTACAGTGCTGTGAAGCCAAATCTGTTTTTAAAGCCTATTTTGTGCGTTTCAAATTTCGACGTGGCTGCAATAGTTAACCACGCTATATTGAGGTAAGTATTATGCAGAAGTTCGTTATAATATTGAGGGTGATGAAGCATATTTTACGTAATTATACTTTTAAATGGGGTGGCTTTGGTCTATCAATAAGAATAAGGAAGAGGGCAAAGACACCCCATATAAGCAACTAACTTTGCCCATTCAGTTTTTTACTTTTTTTATATATATATTTGTTTAATAAACAAAAAAGCGTATTATTGTTGTGTTGTCCTTATTACCACTTATAGCATAGACCATGCGCATTTGAGAAAATACAACAATTTTTGAAATAAACACGATTTAAAATTCAGAATTGGGCAAAGTCACCCCACTTCAAGGTATCTTAACATCTATTCTCCACACCATAAAGCATAATGTGCGTTGTATTAAGACATAAAAAAATTATTAGAAATATCTTAATATAAATCACAAACTAACTTAAGTTTTGCTTGTCTTAAGTTGGTATGTGTATAAATTTAATGAGATCAAAAATAAACCTTCACCATATTATCAAGATAATAAATAATCATTTTAATTTTGGCATTACAGGAAACAAGAAATTAAGTAAATTAAGAAAAGAATATCAAAGTACAGGATATTAAATACTCTAATGTATTCTACGACATAATCAGCATTCTTCGATAAAATATGTGCCTAAGCAATTGCTATTATTAACCCACTAACTTGATATTTTTAAGAAATTATGATACAAACACACTACAATCAAACTAGGTAAAATGTTACCTCTATCTCATTTTCTTTGTACCATGCCTCAATCTTATCGACTTGTGCTATAAAACTGGTCATGCGGTATAGTACTTCAATATATATAATTGATATATACCTAATCAACAACAAGTCTTGGGTATAACATCAAACATATCATAATTGATATACCTAATCAACAACAAGGGTAAAAACCTGGTAAAAACATATTCACATAAGGCCGGAGTTACGACGCTCCAAAGACCTATCTCAAAATCCTCATGGCTTACCACTTTTTCGATCTTACCCCTTTTCGTCTCACGTGTCATATCGCTAGCTCGTGCGTCACGACCTTGAATTTTAAATCCCAGCGCGCGTAAATAAGTTTCACTTCAACTATCAAATGGTGTTTTAACGTCTCGTTTTTGCTGTTAAACCAGAGAAGAACGACCGTGTTCTTCTCTGGTTAAACTGTGCTGTTAAAGCTTGTTAAAGCTAATATGAACGAGGTCGAAACTACTGTTGCCCGCTTTCAAAACGGGTACGTAAGTGCCCCCCCCCCTTTGGTTCCAACGTTTTTTCGTGACTATTTTCTTTAAATTTTATTACGAATTTGATTTGTTTAGTCAACTGCATTTGTTTAGTCAACTGCTGTTGACTAAACGATTTGACATCGATCGACTCTCCGATGACAAATAATTTGGGACGATAATTTCGCCTAGTTCACTAACACAGCGATTAAAATGGCAGACAAATCTGTCGCGAATTATCGGAGGATATTTTGTAGAAAGTTAAGGAATGGCGAACAACCTCACAACGTATCTTCATCTATGCGTAGGTAGTTTTTAAAATCATCAGGATCATCCTCTTGCCACCGCTTTATAAGCCACATATGGTATAATTATTTTCCCAATAGACATGTCTTAACACATCTACAAATAACAAGTAATTAAATCGCTCAGATTTTTTGGACTTCCGAAAAATCAACGATCACAGATAAATTATAACAAATTTACGGATAAATCTTTATGAACGACACAGGCAGACGGAACGAATAAACACTCAGGATATACTGTATGATCGAATAAAAACGGCGTCAGCGATGGCTATGAAATAAAGATCGCTGTCATTTTATATGTAAAATTATATGGGAAATGTCATCGATCGTCATTTCACAGCCATCGCTGACGCAGTTTTTATTCGATCATACGGTACTTTGATAATTCGCTTCAATAAAACTAAGCGTCTTCATAAGATTTACCTGATAGATCTGTCTTAACGATTTATCTAACAAATATTTGGTAAAATTTATTTCTCCCAATAAGTTGTTACGTGTGTATTCAACTATCGAATTGTGTTTAATACCTATTTTATTGTTAGGAAAATGGGGAATAATTATTTTTAGAGCATTATATAGACTTCAATTTCAATGTTTCAATATTAGAACACTTTACGTAATTTTTTTCCCTACTTAAAAATAGATCAATAATATTTATAATATCATTTGAGTGAATGCGCGTGAAATGTTCGATAACAATTTAAAAATAACCAGTACTGAGATATACTTTCTTATAGTCTCTCCAAAAAACTTCTACCATGGAAAGTAATTTTTTAGAAATAGTTTTAGAGCATTACAGAGAAAATGATTGGAAAAGCATTTTAAAACTTAACGAAAAATCAGATAATCCCAAAGCTTTAAAAATATTGTGGGCCTGGCCTGAAGAATCTAATTTATTTTTTTTGAAATACTGTTTGGAAAGGTATAATATCGAAGGAATTATGTCTATTGGATGTGGTTGTGGATTATTAGAGTGGATTATAGAGAAATGTAGCGGTATGTTACTAACAGTGATGAAACTTTCATGTTTTTATTAGATTATCATTTAAAAAAAAACATCGATATTTTTTAATATCGATATTAAAAGACGTATCTAATCATTTTTATTTTTTTTGTCCTTATTTATAGGAGTTCGAGTATCAGGGTACGAAGTTAATAAAGAATGGTGGGAAAGTAAATACTCCAACCCATGTTTCATACCTTTGAATTTTGTAGAAAACATCTCTAGTTTATATTTAAATAACAAATTCGCCCTAATGTTTTGCTATTTTAATAATGGCGAAGCGTTTCGGGAGTACATTAATCGATACAATGGTGAAATGGTGATTATAATTGGACCTAGCTATGGTTCTGGAAGACACACAGACCCTCAGCCTTTCAATCCCAACTTTGGACACTCATGTTGGCATTTGCGACATTTCCAGCAACTCAAAGACACTAAAGACTTTATAGCAATTTATCTCAGATTCAATATATCACAATTAGAATAAAAAATTGTAGAAATGTATATTCGTTTATATATAAATAGTATTTTTATAAATGCCATATTATTTTTCTACTTTATTACATCCCCTTTCTCAAGTAAAAATAAATATCAGTTAATAAATGTATGGATCACTGTATACGGAATCAAAATATATACTTAGACTTTAGGCTTTTAAAAATTAAAATCGAACAGATATGTTCACAGCTTTGTTTTTTTTACCTAAATTTGATTCGTGTTTTAAACGCCATAGTTTGACTATTTCTTTAGCCTGTTAACTTATTAAAGACTTTAATAAAAAAAAAAACGAAAGACCTTATTGTGTTGGTAAAATGTTAATTGCAGTTACTTATAACATCCCCTTGTATTGACGCCACGCTTCGCCGCTGCATACACACATTATATCCTCATCAATTCATAATTCACAATTATTATTTTGTCTTGATCTATATAGGTAAGGTGAGCTAAAAAAGATCCAACAAATGACCTCACTGAACTGTTCCAAACGTCTTCTATTTTAATTATAACTTTGTGTTAACTACACGGCATATTTTGCTTGTGAATTGTGATCATATGCGTCGAGTACATTCCTTTATTTACAGTTCTGTATTGGCACAAAAAACATGTAAACATTAGGTCTTTCTCCATGCCTGGATGTTTGGTTTTTAAATGAACCTGAAATTTTTGGAAATGTAAAATATTAGGTTTTGACATAGTAGAAGGAAAAGGGTAGTTTCACTCTCCAAAATATTTTCTGCCAGCAGACAATATTCGGCCAAAGTACTATACAGGGTGTTTCAAAACACATGTGCCATCTCTCGTGGGGAGATTCCTCACGTAAAAATAAGATTTATTTTCATATCAACAAAGTCCGATTCTGCTTTGGTTCGTAGCTACAGGGTGTTAAAGTCTTAATATTTTTTCGATTTATTATAATTTTCTTCCAAGTACTTTTATCGTTTCGAATGAAATTTTGAGGGTAAAAGTTATTGTAAATGTGATTACTATTTTAAAGCTAAAAAATGTACACATATTCACCAGGGACGTGCATATGGGTTATTACTGGAATATTTTTCTAAAAAAAAACATGTACGCCACTAACCGCTTTTTCTCTTGTTAGCGAAATAGTGTAAGCAGTTTAATGCCGATTAAAAGTTGTCTTTTGTTATTTTGTTTATTTCGGCCTCCTTGATAAGATAAACGCAATGTTATTAATTTGCCTTGATGCAAGTCTAATAGCAACCTTTAAAAAAAATAATATCATTAACTTGCGAAAGTTTTAAATAAGTACTCCTCATCAAAAAATCAGAAAAAAAAGTTTCTATAAACATGAGTATGGAAAGTATGGATAGTTTTAGAGTTACAGGATGTTAAAGCTTTTTAAAATTGGCTTATTTTTTGTAATTATCTTAAATCCCATTATTTTTCTATTTGAAGTTGCTGTAGGTTGGATTAATAGTAATAATATTTAATAATAAATTAGGTAAAATATATAATTTATTAATTTTATAATTATTTTGATTAATAAAATTGCGTTTATCTCATCATTTCTGAATTCGACAAAATATCAAGAGATAACGTTTAATTCGCATTAAACCGCCTACACAGATGACCATGTGGAGAGAATCACGAGAGAATGCCAAACGATTGGTTAGCGATAATTGCTAACGAGAAACGACCTAATACACTTCTTTGGACGACCACATTATAAGATGGTATGAAAATCTGGTCTTCATTATCCCAACTGTTCTTTGAAGAAAACACAGAAAAAGAAGAAGAAACGGCCTACACAGTTTTGATACCAAAGAAAAAAAAATCAGTGGCGCACATTTTTTTTTGAAAAATACTCCAGTGATAACACATATGCACGTCCCTGATGAATTTATCGACACTTTTTTAGCATTAAAATATACTACACTTATTACTTACACAAATTACCACTTATAGTAACTCTTACCCTCAACATTTCATTCGCATCACTAAAAGTATTTGGAAGAAAACTATAATAAATTAAAAGATTATTAATGCCCACTTGCACCGTTTGTGTAAACTTTGTTTAAAGGCTAAACAGTGATTTGGTTGTGACAATTAACACCCTGTTGCTACGAAACAAAGCAGAATCAGACCTATGTTGATATAAAAAATAAATCTTATTTTTATGCGAAGAATCTCCCCACGAGAGATGGCACATGTGTACTTTGACAAAGAGTAAAGCTACTAGAATAGTTTCCTTCTATTATGCTTTTAATATGTTCTAGATATTAAAGTCTGACCAGCAAGAGAAAAAACTATCTTGACAAAAAAGAACAACTCTTTTAAGGAACAGATAGGGTTGCCTGACGTCCAGGATTTCCAGGAAAATCCCGGATTTAGGTGAGCTGTCCCGGATTTTGGAAAATCATTATACTTTCCCGGAAAGCGTTAATCAAATTATAAAATCAAATGTTATAAAGTTCACAAACTACTTTCGTTTATGTTGTTTGTGCTTGTCTCAATAAAACATGTTTTGACTTTAATTTGAGGGTGGTGATGTTTATTGCTTAGTTTTTTTACTAGTTTTTTTGCCGTGCCGGAATTTAGCTATAACAATCTAGCAACCCCAGGAACAGAGTGCAGACAGAAGTACCTTATGATCGAAAAAAAAACGGCGCCAGCGATGGCTATGAAATGAAGATCGCTGTCATTTTATATGTAAATTTATATGGGAAATGTCATCGATCGTCCCGATAGATTTCCCAGCCAACTGGACCCCGTTTTTTTCGATCATACGGTAGAATATATCGCCGCTCCATAAGTCCAATGATGCAATTTTACAGGACAAGCAAAAAATTAAATTTTAAAATTATAAATGGCCATAATACCGTAAAATAAAGAGCATTTATTACGGAAATTGTCCTGTGTCATTAACAAGCTTTTTGCATTTTAGTTTAGGATAAAATTTAGTTTTTCGCCACTCCTGTAAAATTGCATCGTAAACAGTGTAATGTTAAGAATTAATAAATTAAAAGCTTATTTTAAATTCACAAATCTGACTGTTTTATTTAACATTGTTACAACTGTTATATCAAAGCTTATTTCTATGGAAACACTCAAATATATATACAGAGAATATTATTAGGATATTACATTTTTCCCTTCTTCTTTATTAAAAAATTCCTATAATGCATAATCATTTAAATAATTTGGAATCTTAATTTTTCTTTTAGGTCTAAGTTCATTTGGTTCAATATGATCTTCCTCTTCATAATTTTCCATATTCTCTTCATTATTTTCATACATGTCATGATCTAAAATAGATACCCTTTCTTGAGTCAAGATGAAATCATCATCTGAATGTGACTTTTCCTGTTGATTTTCTCCAATATATTTCTTAAAAAATGATAAATTTCTTTCTATGATTTTATTATTTCTTATCGCTTTAATTTTGGTTCCTGATATTTTGATAATTTCATAAGGATAAATTTCATAAACTGGGGATAGTGTGTTTTTTATTTTGCTTGACTGAAACCAAATCTCCTATTTTAAAATCTTCACTTAACATAGGTAAATAATTATTAATTTTTCTGTTAAATACAATTTCAAATGGTGAAATTCCAGTGGATGAATGAAGTTTACTTCTGTAGTTAAAAAGAAACTGATTCATGTCACCATAAGGTTCTCCATTTTCAATTAGTGAACATTTCAAAGTCTTTTTAAACGTTTTTACAAAACGTTCAGCCATTCCATTTGCTTCTGACCAATATGGTGTAACCTTATGGTGTGTTATACTGTACATATCCAAAAACTTAGTAAATGTATGTCCATTAAATGGTGGTCTGGTGGTCCATTATCAGATTTTACCATACGTGGGATACCAAATGTGGTAAAAACTTTCTCCAAAATAGGTTTCAAACTTTGAAATGAAGTAGAATTAACAATTTTAGTTATTGGAAACCTAGAACATTCATCAACTAATATAAATATATACTTTCCATTATAAGGTTCAGCATAATCTATATCAACTCTTTCAAATGGTGTTTTTGGAATATCTGATGATTTCACAGTATCTCTAGTGTTTTGAGACGTAACTGCTTGAAAAGCAACACATTTATTAATATATTGTTCTGTGATTTTGTCAATATTAGGAAACCAAACTTTTGTTCTCAATAATTGCTTAGTTTTTATAATTCCTAAATAACCCTTGTGAGCTAATTGAATAACGCGATTTTGCAGTGATTTTGGTATAAGAATTCTTGAGCCTCTTAATACAATACCATTTGCAGTTGTCATTTCACTCTTAATATTTTTAAAATGAACTAATTCTGGTAAGTTCCATAATTTATTATTGTTAGAGTTTAAAGCTTCAATCAACAATGAAATTACTGTATCATTCTTTGATTCATTCATAACTTCTTCTACATTTATTGCTTTTGGCATACTGTTACTAACTAAAAATTGTACATACAAATCAATTTTCTTGTCAAAATTATCTATTATATTTGGATGTCTTGATAAATAATCTGATGGATTGGTAATACCTTTTTGATGTACAACTTTAAATTCATATGGTTGTATACGTAAACACAATCTCTCTTTACGAGCACTCATTGATTTTCTATTCTGTAAAATCTGTAATAATGGTAAATGATCAGTGTGTAAAGTAAATACAGACTCATATAAATATAAATGAAAATGTTGAATTGACCATGTGGCTGCAAGTGTTTCTCTTTCAATTTGACTATATCTTCTTTCAGTAGATGATAAAGTACGACTTGCATATGCTACTACATGAGACCCATGACTTGATTCTTGAGCTAAAATTGCACCTATCCCTGTTGGACTAGCATCAACACACAAATGAGTAGACTTCTTAACATCGAAATAAGATAACTTAGTGGCATTTACTAATTGTTTTTTTTAACTGTTTAAATGTTTCTTCATGTATTCCAGTCCAGTTGAATTCTTTTTTTTGTTTTTAATGTGAGCTGTCTTAAAACCTCCGTGTTTTGAGAAAGATTTGGTAAAAATTTGGAAATATAATTCAACATTCCCAAGAAACTTCTCACCTCTGCTACAGATTTTGGTGACTCTAAATTAATTAACGTTTCAACTTTTGCAGGATCTGGATGTATACCATTACTTGAAAATACGTATCCAAAAAATTTTATTTTGTCTGTACTAAAAATGCATTTTGACTTGTTTATTGTTAAACCATTCTCCTCTAACCTTAATAACACTTTATCCAAAGCAATCCAAAGTATTGTTATGTGTCTCTTGAGACTGGCCAAAAATAAGGATGTCGTCACTTAAATTTATTACACCTGGTATATCAGCTAAAATATTTTTAATAGTATTTTGAAATATTTCAGCAGCTGCATTTATTCCAATACTTAAACGTTTGTATCTGTATAATCCATTATGTGTTGTGAATGTTGTTATGTATCTACACTTTTTACTCAATGATAACTGATGATAACCATCTTTTAAATCTATTTTACTAAATAACACAGAACCATTCAGTTGTGTTATAATGTCATCTACTGTTGGAGTTATATGACCTTCTCTCAAAATTGCCTTGTTAGGACTTCTCATATCTACACATATTCTTATTTTATCAGCACTTTTGGGTTTTGGTACTATAACAATTGGTGAAACCCATGGAGTTGCTTCATTTTCTACCTTTTCAATGATTCCTTCTGTTTCAAGTCTTTTTAATACTTCTTCCACTTTCTCTCTTAAATGAAACGGAATTCTTCTATGCTTGTTGGCTATTGGTTGAACAGATTTATCAATATGAAGATCTACTTCCATGTTTTTAAGTTTTCCAACACCATTAACAATTTTTGGATACATTTGTTCAACATATTTCAAATCAATAGTTTTTATAATATTTAATGCTAATTGATTAATATTAGGAGTGTTGAAAAAATATCAAATACTTCTTCTCCAGCACAATGTAACAAAAGTGCCTTTTGTCTCTTATCGTCTGTTATATTTGTTGCTAAGAGAAAATTCTCAAACCGTTTTAGCCATTTTGTCCATCTTCCTCACATATTTTCTGGATCATTGGTCATATCGAAGGGCTTTATTTGATTAACAAATTCCATGCTTGTCTAAATCCTCGTCGCCAAATGTAATGTTAAGAATTAATAAATTAAAAGCTTATTTTAAATTCACAAATCTGACTGTTTTATTTAATATTGTTACAACTGTTATATCAAAGCTTATTTCTATGGAAACACTCAAATATATATACAGAGAATATTATTAGGATATTACCAAAGGATATTACAAACAGTTGCGTTGTTTTTCTTCTAGAGCGGCGATATGATCTAAAGAAGTTTTATTGTTGTATTTGTTGTACTACTAAAAACTTACCTTATATGTACTACTTTGTATACAGGCATATGAACAATATGAACATTTATATGGTTTATGACCTGTATGTCGAAGTTTGTGTCTTCTGAGAGAATTGTGATCTGATGTAGAGTATGAACACTGATCACAAGAAAATGGTTTTTCACCTAGATTTTCAATAATAAAAATATAGTAGTTATTTAAAAAACAAGGAAAAACTGGTTTTTCCAGAGTATGTTCATATTAAAATATATAACTGTGAAAGATATTATTATTATTATTAAAAAAAATATTGATGACAATAATTAAAATTCTCCACATTTTAATACATTCCTAGTTATTTACTCACCTGTATGACTTCGAATGTGCATTTTCAGAGAAGCCCTGCTAGATCCTTTATATCCACAATAGTTACATAGAAAAGGCTTAATTTTCTTATGAACTGAATCCATATGGCTTCTGAGCCTTCTTTTATCTGGAAAATTTTTCGAGCATAACTCACAAATTAAATGCTTCTTATCTGACACATCTCTGTGTATTCTTTTGTGATTTCTCACTTGTTTTTGATTTTTGAAAGGTTTCGCACAAATCTCACACTAAAATTAAGATATCTTTTAAGGTATTTGCTCTCCTTACTCAATATATCACTTATACAAAAAAAATATAAATTTATAAAAAAATCACTAATGCATAAAGTTAACTTACTCGAAATGCTTTGACGTTAGAATGTGTCAGTTTGTGAATAGTGTTTAGTTTAGAGAGACTGTTTGTTTTGTAATCACACTTGTCACAAGAATACAAGTCCAAATCCACTTTATGTGTTCTCCATAAATGTGAAGTAAGAGGTTTCCATAGCAAAAATTTTTCCTATGGTTAAAATTGAATTGTTCAATTAAATTCTACAAATTTTCAATTAATAAAATACTTTACCTGACACTCTAAACATTTAAACCCATCATTAAAATGTGACTCCATATGATAATTCATTTTCTTTGGATCTGACAAAACAACTTTACAAGGAACGTAGGCACATTTTTGGGAATTTATATAATTTATTACTGGATCTTTTTTCATTAAATTTGTTATTAATTTTTCACTGTTGTTAGGAGTGATATCAACTTGAGGCAGAGGTATCTTTTGAGGTACCTGTACAGGCTTAATATTGACGTTGGGTACTTCAAAGTGACCTGAACTCTCCGAACTTGAATCCATATCCATGATTTTCTTTTCATTTAGTTTTGGTTTAGATTCAAAATCAATTTTTTTTATATCAACATGAGTTTTTAGGTCTATTTTCTCAATTTCTTCATTAATTTTTATTTCTTTCATTTTGTTTTCTTTGTTGGAGTAGAAAACCACTGCCTAAACTTAAATATATTTAAAAATATAACAAGAGAATTTTAAAACGCATAACTTACTTGTACTATAAGGTTTATATCACTAGTTTCCACACAGTGATCATGTAGAAGGTGACTTTTTAGTGATGCTCTATGGTAAAAAATATTAATGCATGCAGGGCATTTCAACTGAACTAATTGACTGGAGAGTTTATTTTTATGTACACTTTCTAAATGTTGAGTGATTTTCGTTTCTTTTGTACACAAAAATGGACATAAATTACAAACAAAGTACAACATATCTTCGAAAGATTCTTTATCATAATGTTTTGGTGAAATGCTGGAATTGTTACTAGAATTACTTGTTTCTATAATGTTTAATGTTAAATCAGTTGGTTTTAATTGCTTTTTCTCATTAGATCCCTTTAAAACTGAAAAAAAAGATACTATCTATTTATATCTTTCATTAGATAAAATAACTTACTATTACTTCCATCAAAGCTAATAATTTTATTATTAGCATTTGAATTTTCATTGTTATGTACAGGATCTTTTACAACAATATAATTATTACTATGTAGATTCAGAGGCACATCTAGAGGCATTTTATAATCATTTCCTTGTAAAATAATAAGATCCATGTTTTGTAAATTATGATCATTATTTGCATTATCTAAATTTTGTAAAATCGAAGTTACTTGACAACTACCTATAACAGGTAAGCATTCCTAAAAAATGTATTTTTCAAATATTCACAGCACTTTTAATAAAAAATTACTTCCGGTGGTAACAATTCAGCATTGCCAGCCCATATAGGATCGCCATTACTTCCACTTAATTGTTCTGTTTTCATATTATCTTATTTTTGAAAATTTATTAAATGTTTATTTATAAATAAGGATAATATTAAACATTACTTCTCGATCTCGACCTATTTTTGAAATTTAATCATAATGTACCTATCAGCTGTTTTAGCGTCCTTGGACTTTAACAACAGTCACCAAGTCACAATCCAAGTTACGTTGTCAGCAAATGCCTGATGCCTGACAAAAGATGAAGAAGAATCTAATATTTCCCGCCAAATGGCCAAATAATGTCTCGTGTTGATTAAAGTTGTGTTGTCGAAGTGCTGTGTTGTGCTGTATGTGGTGTTTCAATTAATTTTAAATATTATTGTTTTCATTTAATGACACAAGATGACTATGGATTTACCAATAATTGAGTCTTCACAAGCAGATATACTCAGTTATTCAATAGTAAGCAGCGATGAAGAAGAAAATCCCTTGGTTGTTAAATTAAAATTATCATCAAAGAACAAAAAACTACCTGTTGTAGTTTTAAAGAAACTGGAAAATATCGACGAATACTCGCTCTCTCCAAGAACTTCCTTCAGGACCAGAAAAAATAAGGCCTTTGAAAATTACGAAACAGATCTATCAGCAGCCAATTTGAGAAAGTTAGAGAAGAAATCTTTATCCCCGAAAAAAAGAGCCAAGCCCTTAATTAATGATAAAGAATTAGTGAGTCCCAAGAAAAGGGGTAAACCTAATTTTGAATATTCTGTTGATACTCTCTGTGATTCAATTAAAAACAAAGTTAATCTTAAAACTCCAACTAAAAGAAGAATTGTTGATAAGGAAAGTTTAGATCAGAGTTTAGATATTCAATCGCCTCAAAAGAAGAAAGGAGTACAAGAAGAAACGCCTGTAAGGACTCCAAGAAGTTGCAGCTTAAGAGATGTAGAGACTCCAAGAAGTAACGAAAATCTGGTAAAAGTATTTCCTTTGGTATACTTGATATTTTTTAACCTGCAGACATTTATAGAGGAGATCAGTGAGGACATCAGCCAGATACCTTGAAGATAGCAGTCCCTTAAGGTCAGTTAAAGTCAATTTGAATGAATCTTTTCGTAGATCTGTACTGAGGCATCAATTAAATGATCAGAATAAAATGAGCCCTGACATCGAGTAAGTGCTTAAATACAAAATAAATTGAATTATGTAAGAAACTTTTTATTATAGTGATGTAATAAAGAGAACCCCTTCATATAGAAAGTCTTATAATAATAATAATCATAATATGAATGGGGATTGTCTAGTGGGAACAAGATCTGCAAGAAAATCCTTTGCTCATTTTTATTATGATACTGAAGAGGATGATGATATTGAAATAGTTGAGGCTCTTAAAAGAAGTGAAGAAGATATTAAACCAAAAAGGTATGTATCATCAATATTTGTATGTTTTTTTTTTAAATTTGTTTTGTAATTTTTTTTCTTAGGACATTGAGTTCAAGAAGTAATTCTACTGTATCAGAAAAATCATTAGTCTCTCAGAATTCTGAAAATGAAGAAAATATTGCTTCTTCAAAGAGGTAAAAGTTCTGTTACTATTTTTTATTTTTGTTAATTAAGAAATATGTCCATATCTTTAAGGAAACAATCAACAATATCAAAATTACTTAGAAATGGCTGTGATAATGAAGTTCAAACTAGGCGTTCAAAAAGGTAAAATGAACAAATTGTTAGTCTCTGATATGAAATTAAACTTTTTAGAATTTCAAAACCAACATATAAGATTTCAGTATCAGAAAGTGATTCTGACTATGAAGAGAAAGAAACTGAAGCACCAAAGACTCCAAAAGCTACTAAAACCTCAAGGAAAGCTCTAGCAACTCCTAACAGTGTAAAAATGACTCCAAAAACTCCTAAAAACACTTTGAAATTACTTAGGTAGAAATTTCTCTTAATTTATTTTTATACATATTTTTTTTATTTTTTTTTATAGGGAAGGGGTTATAACTCCATCAATGCAGTCCCGGTCTAGTCTCATACCTAAAGATAGCACACCCCTCATGAAAGCTAGGACTCAGCTACATGTTTCTTGTATACCTACCTCACTTCCGTGCCGAGAGAAGGAATATCAAGATGTTTATAATTTTCTGAAAGGTAAACTTGAAGATGAGTGTGGAGGGTAAGTGGTGGTTTATTGTGTATTTCAAAGTATTTAATATATTTTTTTAGGTGCATGTACATTTCTGGGGTACCTGGCACAGGGAAGACAGCTACTGTAACTTCTGTAATTGATCATTTACAGAATAACAGAAAAATACCAAAATTTTCTTATGTACATGTTAATGGGATGAGACTGACTGAACCCAGACAAGCTTATGTAGAGGTAAGAATTATGTTTGTTTTCTGTTAATTGTGTTAAATGGTAGCCTGAGGATATTTAAATAATTAGATATATCAAAGTATTTTATTTGCTCCGACGATTATAAAAAGAAATCAGATAGAAACTCAAAATACACTTCTAAGTTCGCATTTGACTATGGAGGATCATTATCTTTGTAAAAGTTTAAAGTTGAGTTAACGTTAAGGGTTGCCACCTTTTTTAAAAAAAGGACATTGGGCTATGAAAAAGAACCGGGAGAGAGAGTGGGGCTTCAGAATTTTTTAAAGGCCTTTTTAAGATCAAAATAGTTAAAAATAAGGCCTAGACTGGCCTAGACTTTCTTTTAAATTAAACGGGAAGTTCTTAATAACGTTACCGATTATAAACAATAGTATATTGTTTGATTAGGAGTAAAAATGATACTTCTTGTAAGGAGGACATACAGCCTGGTCAACATTACAGGTAAGGCACAAAAAGTAATTTTTACTCCTACTTAAAATAATTTTTTTTAACAGTTTCAAACGTTGCAAATAATATAAAATCATTTAAAAGTAATACCCTGTAATGTAAGTAATTAGATATCATTAGATATCGAGACCGCGGTGAGATCGAGAAATTATAGTTACACTCGTTGCATTTGACACTTTATGTCAGTTTAATAATATATTTTCGTACTTTTGTGCTTAGGCGTAAGTGTTTTACTTTTATGCCTAGGCGTTAAAATTACTTTTTTATATAGTAACCACGTCGCAAAAACTAATAGTTTGTACAGGGTGACCCAGGCTTCAGAGAAACTCATATTAGGATTTTCGTTTGTGATTTTTATTTTATTGTAACACACATATTGAAACTATTTTTGTCAACATACAAGGTGATTGAAACATATTATCAAACTAAAGTTGTATATTAATAAATGGAATATTATATATTTTTTAGCTCAGTGGATGTGTCCAAGTTTTGTCAATAAATTTCCATTCTAAAAATACCATAATGTCATACTATACTGAGTGGTTTTTGAAATATAACCGCTTTTAAACTAAATTTACTGCCTTTTTAAAGCCCTCTCAGAATTCTAAATTTGAAGAAATTTAAAATATTTTAGCCGGATGTAATAGTGTCTGTATAATAGTGTCTACTTTAAAATTCAGCTTACCAAAATTTGTAATCTTGTTTGGTATATACAGGGTGGGTCAAAACTAAATGTTTTTTCTCCATTATTTTAAATTGATCACCCTGTATTTTGTATCACAATCGAACGAAGTTTTGTTTATTCTTTTTGTTTTATTAAGCACTTCCTATACTTAAAATCAATATTTATTGAGAATTTTTTTTTTAAATATAAGACAGGATTTGACTTCCACTCTTTTAGAAGGCGTTTATTATTAAAATCATTTGTCCAAAATAAAAGTCGATTTCGGCAAGAATTTAAGGCACAAAATGTTACCTATAATATGTTTATTGTCATACAGAAGTTAGACAGAGGAATATATTTTTTGTTTGGTTTGGTTTGGTTTGTTTTTTTTTTGTTTTATTTGTTAAGATCTTTAGTTTCATAAAAATATAGATTTTCAGTTCAAAAAACGTTACTATATTTTGTTTGGCAATTTATAATAAGTTGATTAGAATATCAAACAAATAACAAATATTAAAGTGAATGCTGATTAAAATTCATAGTGATTGTTTTTAGATTTGGAAGCAACTTAGTGGAAAGACAGTTCCGTGGGAACAAGCTCAAAATTTGTTGGAACAAAGGTTCACCAAAAAGAAAAATATGATGCCAGTAGTAATGCTTATTGATGAAGTACATTTTAATTTTAAATTTCTAATATCTTTTATCAAGATTTGTTAAATTTTCAGTTAGATATACTGTGCACAAGGCGACAAGATGTTGTATATAATTTGCTAGATTGGCCTACAAAGTCTAATGATGAACTTATAGTAATAACTATTGCCAATACAATGGATTTGCCAGAAAGGTGAGTTCTGAGGTACAAACTTTGCTTAATTCATATAAGACTTACATTTTTTCTATAGATTGTTAATGAGTAGAGTTACCAGCCGTTTAGGGTTAACTAGACTCACTTTCCAAGCATATACTCACAAGCAGTTAATGGAAATTGTTACAAAAAGACTTACTGGTACAAATAGTTTCAATCCTGATGCTGTACAATTAGTTGCTAGGTTAAATATACACTGTTTAAATCTTTTCTGTCTGCTAATGTAACTACATTTATAGAAAAGTAGCCTCTGTGTCGGGAGATGCAAGAAGAGCTCTAGATATATGTAGAAGAGCTGCAGAAATTGCAGAGAATGAAGCCAATGAGCAACAAGTCAACATTATGCATATAAATAAGGCACTGAGTGCTATGATTACGCAGCCGCAAATTACAGCAATTCGTAGATGCACCAGGTTGCAGAAACTTTTACTACAAGCTATCGTTGCAGAGGTTTGAATCTTTAATCTCTTTATTTTTTAGTTTTTCATATTTATTATTTTTTATTTAAAGCGGGAAAATTCCTTTTTTAGAGCTAGGGTGTTCTGTAATCGCGGTAATTGACGCATAAAACGCGATAACTGAAGAAAGAATCTAGTTATTCAAACTTTCTTTGTTTTTTTTTGAAGTTTGGATCTTCAACAATGTTGAAGTAAGAAAATTTAATAGGCCCATTCAAAAATTCCAATTAATATATTCAAAAAATGCATCCACCGACTTTTAGTGCGCGCCAATTTTTAATAATTGTGCAACATTTTTGTTTAAATACATTTTCACATATTGTCTGCGAAGAAAATATAGAGAAACATTAAAAAGTTTAAAAATATACAATTAATTATTTTTAACAGATTTCGAGATATCAATTTTCAAATGAAAGTTCTGATACCGCGACCGATGTCCAGCGCCAACTCAACACCACACATTGCGTGCATCACGTTCACCCGTCCATATACACTCACATCGTCTAAAGTCGCTTAAATCCGATGATCGATCGAGAACCGGTGTTTCGACGTATAGAATACCTTATTTTTGAGTTTTTAGACATGTCAGAAAATCTTTTTTTGAAATATGGTTAATAACTAACTTCAAAGAATATCTTAATACCCTAGAAGTCTCGTCTCGCATCAAAATCTGACCTGTCGATGGGGCCTCGCTTTGGCGAGCGAGGCCCCAACTTCGTGGGGCCTCGCTATTTTGCTCGGAATTGAACGAACAGACGCGCGCCGTTGCCTTGTTTTGTATGTACTTTCTTGAATAGTTTTAAATTATAGTTTTAAATTTCATCTATTGCTATAATCAGTCTTTCCGCTCTCCGCTCTCCGCACTCCGCAGTTTTCATATAATATTATCTATATAATTCTCGTGTTACAGTTTTGGGTGGTTTTGGTTACCGTACTTCTCCGAAACGGCTTAACCGATTTTGATAAAATTTTATATGTATATTCAGTACGTCTAAGAATAGGTTGTTATCTATTTTTATACCCTTAACTGATAAGGGTAGCTGAGAGGGTAGCCCACCCTCATTTTTTTTTAGTTTTTGAAAAGAAAAAAATGTTTTTATTTTATTTGGCATTAAGAAATACACACAACCCTAAATTTTCACCGTTCTGCTATCATCCCCTATTTTTAATAGGGGTTGTTTTTTTTTGTTACCATCTCCGAAACGGCTTTGACCGATTTTGATGAAATTTTATATGTATATTCAGTAGGTCTGAGAATAGGTTGTAATCTATTTTTATACCCTTAAGTGATAAGGGTAACCCACCCCTATTTTTTATATTTTGAAAAAAAAATGTTTTTATTTTTTTATTTGGCATTACAAAATACAAACAACTCTAAATTTTCACGATTCTACCATCATCCCCTATTTTTTAATGGGGGTTGTTTTTTTAATTTTTTTTTAATATATCCGAAACGGCTTGACCGATTTTGATGAAATTTTATATGTATATTCAGTAGGTCTAAGAATACGTTGTTATCTATTTTTATACCCTTAAGTGATAAGGGTAGCCCACCTCCATTTTTTTATTTTTTGAAAAAAAAATTAATTTTTTTTATTTGGCATTAAAAAATACAAACAACCCTAAATTTTCACCGTTCTACCATCATCCCCTATTTTTTAATAGGGGATGTTTTTTTTTAATTTTTTGTTACCATCTCCGAAACGGCTTGATCGATTTTGATGAAATTTTATATGTATATTCAATAGGTCTAAGAATACGTTGTTATCTATTTTTATACCCTTAAGTGATAAGGGTAGCCCACCCCCATTTTTTTTATTTTTTTGAAAAAAATATTTTAATTTTTTATTTGGCTTTAAAAAATACAAACAACCCTAAATTTTCACCAGTTCTACCATCATCCCCTATTTTTTAATAGGGGATTTTTTTAAATTTTTGTTACCATCTCCGAAACGGCTTGATCGATTTTGATGAAATTTTATATGTATATTCAGTAGGTCTAAGAATACGTTGTTATCTATTTTTATACCCTTAAGTGATAAGGGTAGCCCACCCCATTTTTTTTTTTTTGAAAAAAAAATACTTTTAATTTTTTTTATTTGGCATTAAAAACTACAAACAACCCTAAATTTTCACCGTTCTACCATCATCCCCTATTTTTAATAGGGATGTTTTTTTTAAATTTTTTGTTACCATCTCCGAAACGGCTTGATCGATTTTGATGAAATTTTATATGTATATTCAGTAGGTCTGAGAATACGTTGTTATCTATTTTTATACCCTTAAATGATAAGGGTAGCCCACCCCCATTTTTTTTTATTTTTTGAAAAAAAATTAAAATATTTTTTTTATTTGGCATTAAAAAATACAAACAACCCTAAATTTTCACCGTTCTACCATGATCCCCTATTTTTTAATAGGGGTTGTTTTTTAAGTTTTTTGTTACCATCTCCGAAACGGCTTAACCGATTTTGATAAAATTTTATATGTATATTCAGTACGTCTAAGAATAGGTTGTTATATATTCTTATACCCTTAAGTGATAAGGGTAGCCGAGAGGGTAGCCCACCCTCATTTTTTTATTTTTGGAAAAAAATTTTTTTTTTATTTGGCCTTAAAAAATACAAACAACTCTGAATTTTGACCGTTCTACCATCATCCCCTATTTTCTAATAGGGGTTGTTTTCTTGTTACCATCTCCGAAACGGCTTAGCCGATTTTGATGACGTTTTATTATGTATATTGAGTAGGTCTGAAAATAGTTTGTTATCTATTTTTTATACCCTTAAGTGATAAGGGTAGCTCACCCCCATTTTTTTTATTTTTTGAAAAAAAAAATATTTAAATTTTTTTAATTTTGCATTAAAAAATACAAACAACTCTAAATTTTCACCGTTCTACCATCATCCCCTATTTTTTAATAGGGGTTGTTTTTTTAAGTTTTTTGTTACCATCTCCGAAACGGCTTAACCGATTTTGATAAAAATTTTTATGTATATTCAGTACGTCTAAGAATAGGTTGTTATCTATTCTTATACGCTTAAGTGATAAGGGTAGCCGAGGGGGTAGCCCACCCACATTTTTTTTATTTTTGGAAAAAAAAAATTTATTTGGCCTTAAAAAATACAAACAACTCTAAATTTTCACCGTTCTACCATCATCCCCTATTTTCTAATAGGGGTTGTTTTTTTGTTACCATCTCCGAAACGGCTTAGCCGATTTTGATGACGTTTTATTATGTATATTGAGTAGGTCTGAAAATAGTTTGTTATCTATTTTTTATACCCTTAAGTGATAAGGGTAGCCCACCCCCATTTTTTTTATTTTTTGAAGAAAAAATATTTTAATTTTTTTTATTTGGCATTAAAAAATACAAACAACCCTAAATTTTCACCGTTTTACCATCATCCCCTATTTTTTAATAGGGGTTGCTTTTTTAAACTTTTTGTTACCATCCCCGAAACGGCTTGACCGATTTTGATAAAATTATATATATATTCAGTACGTCTAAGAATAGGTTGTTATCTATTTTTATACCCTTATGTGGTAAGGGTAGCCGAGAGGGTAGCCCACCCTCATTTTTTATTTTTTTGAAAGAAAAAATGTTTTGTTTTTTAGTTGGCATTAAAAATACAAATAACCCTAAATTTTCACCGTTCCATCATCATCCCCTATTTTTTAATAGGGGTTGTTTTTTAATTTTTTTTACCATCTCCGAAACGGCTAGACCGATTTTGATAAAATTTTATATGTATATTCAGTAGGTCTGGTTTGGTTTGGTCACAACCTATTCCCAGGTTATCTATTTTTATACCCCTAAGTGATAAGAGTGGTCCACCCCAACTTTTTTTTTATTTTTAGACAAATTTTTTTTATTTTAATTGTTTTATAGGGAGTGCTTATTTTTAGGGGTGCATGTCCAAAATTTTATTCTGGGTACTCACTTTCATCACTTAAGGGACCTCTGTACAAAATTGCATATTCCTAGTCCTATAACGGATTTTACATAAAAATTATACAAATGTTTACCCTTAGTTTTATCCCCTTAAGGAATGAATTCCAAAAATCGCTCTAATTATTCAATTACGCTACATAATAAACCTCTGTGCAAATTCTCATATTCCTTGAACAGAATTTATTGTTCCAGAACGTTCAACCCCTCATTTCACACCCTTAGAGGGCGAATTTCCAAAAATTGCTTCTTAGTGCTAAATTACGTTACATAAGGAACGTCTGCAAAATTCATACTTCTAAAACCGATTTTAACAAATTTTTGTACAAATTTTCATCCCTTATTTTTTAGGGGATGCATGCCTAAAATTCGCTTCTAGGTACTCACTTTCATCATTTAAGGGACCTCTGAACATAATTTCATACTCCTAGTCCTAGAACGGATTTTACATAAAAAATTATACAAATTTTCACCCTTAGTTTTACCCCCTTAGGACCTCTGTGCAAATTTTCATATTCCTTCAACAGAATTGTTTCAGAACGTTCACCCCTCATTTCACACCCTTAGAGGGCGAATTTCCAAAAAGTGCTACTTAGTGCTAAATTACGTTACATAAGGAACGTCTGTGCAGAATTTCATACTTCTAAAACCGATTGTAACAAACTTTTGTACAAATTTTCATCCCTTATTTCTAGGGGATGAATGTCAAAAATTAGCTTCTAGGTACTCACTTTCGTCACTTAAGGAAACTCTGTACAAAATTTCATACTCCTAGAACTAACATTTTTTGTACAAAATTTCACCCCCCAGTTTCACTACCCTTAGGCTATACATTTCCAAAAATCGCTTATCAACGTTCAAATGTGCCACATCTGTGCAAAAGTTCATACTCCTAGTAGGTACAGATTTTTTTTGTATAATTACACCCCTTTATCTAATTACACCCCCTTATGGGTCGAATTTTAAAAAATTACTTAGTAGTACTCATCTTAGAGAACGAATTAATATTCTCCGTATTTACTCCAGTTTCCTAATACTAGCACAGATAACACATAATCATACTAGTTAATTTTTTATTCGAATAGAAGTAATTTTTATTAGAAGGTACAAAAAATTAAAATCTAAAATTTTATTTTCATAGCTACGTTTTTATAGCCTTAGGATGCCTCATGTACTAACGAATACAAAATATATAATATAATCAATACATATTTCTTTAAATATCGAGAAATAAAATATGTTTTGGCAACACCGTACGAAATATCGCCGCGCGTAGTCCCCAAAATTTAAAATATTAGCATTTTCAGGCTTCGATTATGTTCAAAAGCGCCACCGTGTGACAAATCACTAAAGCTTCCACACGAGAGTTCTTAAAACTATAATATTCTTTGCTAACTTATAATGGCCCCTCTACACGTTGGCCAATGTGTTCGTTAGTGCATTGGCCAATACGTTGGCACACGTATTGGCCAAGGAAATGAAAATCTATCAACATGACGTTTAGTTTGTCTCGACGCCATGATAAAAAATGGATATCCGGACGGTAGCGACTACGACAATTTATTTAGTCAGTGCTTATAAGTACTATCTTAGTGTGTACCATGTGTGTACCATTACCGAGTTATAAAAAAAAGATGCAGTTTAAAACCGAAATCAAAAGATTTTGTAGAATGATATCGTTGGGTCAGTGAATCGGTTGACGCGCTCTGGATCCAATGGTCGCGAGTTCAATTCCCACCAGATGTACTTTTTTAAGTTCTGATTAATTTGCTTTTCATCTTTTTTTTTTCGCGATTATTTTTTTCAATTTTAATTCGAATTTGATTGATTTAAATTTTTGGATTTTAAAATTAAATGTCTCACAGACAGCTGTTGTATTGATCGATATCGGTAGTGAGCAACAAGACAAAAATTTCTGGTTTGATTGGTCGGGATTATCCGTGATTTTGCTATTCATAAAATGTCTAATATTAGGCATTATTAAATACACTAAATACAGGGTGTCAGTGGTGTAACTAGAAATTTTGGCTTCCACATAACTTTCAGCGATTGGGCCCTTGGCCTCATTGGGTCCTAGTCCCATATCTCAATTTTTAACCGGGTATCCCAATATTCCATGGACATCGAACTACTACGTATTTTTAGAATCAAAATAAGTTAATTGGACACAATTTACTTCTATAAACGTGCTTCGTTTATCAGTTAGAGGGCACAATAAAAAAAGGGCACAAAGGGCACAAATAAACACATTTTTTCTGATATTTTAAGAATTTCCGTTATTCTGATTTAAACTAAATTTGGTGTTTGTATGTTTGCTGATTATTAGGCGTAAATTTTTATTTGATCGTCAAAATACCATGAAAAGTCTTGTCTTCTAGCCCATCTACATTCTGAGTTTCGGCCCCTAGCTCACATAGGGCCCGAGTTACGATGCTCCAAGATCAAAAAGTCAACGTTACCACTTTTGCTCCCGCGTCCTGTCTCGGCCGTGTTCCGGCCTTCAGTTTTTACTCCCATCGCGTGTAAAGAAGTCTCACTTTAAAAATTCTCTATTTTTTTTCTCAAAATCTAGGCGATGTGGCTTTTTACAAGGGACAAAAATGTAATAAATACTATGAGGTCCATTTTACGGAAAAAAAGCCGTCGGTAGAATTGTAAAATATTTTTATTAAAATTATTTAAGTAGAGGTGGGAGTAGGTCTCACCTTTCTCGTACTTTTTCACATTTTTTGTGATGGTCAAATGTTAAAACACTTAGCAACATAGAAACACCAAATCTAGTTCAAATCGGAATATCGGTTCTTAAAATAATCTCCTTGATGCCTTCTAACTGCAAACAAAGCGCTTTTTGTATAGAGGTAAATTGTGTCCAATGAACTTATCTTGACTCCAAAAAATAAGTAGTAGTATCCTGGGAATATTGAGACACCCCGTACACACACAGAAAAATATTACCGACAAGTAGTAGTATCCTGGGAATATTGAGACACCCCGTACACACACAGAAAAATATTACCGACCAATCACCGATCAATACCAACTCCCTTTGATGTGTCTTGAAAAAACCGACAACAGATGGATCGGTCGCCAATGCTTGGGCCAACTCGGCCAGTGCCGCCAACACGACCAATGGTCCCCTCTACACGTTGGCCCAACGCATTGGCCAGCGTATTGACCAACGCACTGGCCAACACATTGGCCAACGTGTAGAGGGGTCATTTTTAAAGTGTCTTGAAAAAACCACGGCAAACGGATTGGTCGCCAATGCTTGGACCAACTCGGCCAGTTCAGCCAACACGACCAATAGTCCCCTCTACACGTTGGCCCAACGCGCTGGCCAGCGTATTGGCACATGCATTGGCCAACGTGTAGAGGGGCTATAAGAGGAATATATGCCAGTAGAATTAAAAATCGTGTTATTTTTTAGATCGAACGAACCGGAGTTGAGGAAACGACATTTTTCGATGTATATAGGATGTTAGAGTCCTGTTGCGCGCTTGACGGCTTCAAAATGGTATCGAGCACGATGGCTCAAAAGGCTGTGATGCAATTGGGCAGCTGTAGACTAATCATAACTGAACAAAAATGCAGTAATATTTATCAGAAGATAATGTTAAATGTTAGCGTCCACGATGTATATTTTGCGCTTAAAAATGAGTAGTAAAATCATTGCGTATTTTCAATCTTAAAGACTTATTTGAACTAATTTTAATGTTACGTTTTCTGACGACAAAGATATTTATATTTTTTAACTATTTAAGGAATAAAAGAAATAATTTTGTAATAAAAGTGTTTTTTAAGTTTTTCCTTGTCAAAGTAGATTACATGAGAATTAGTATAATTTAAAAAAAAATATATATACATATTACTTAAACAACTCTGGATGCTTTGGTGAGATGCCTCTTTAAATACAGTATTTGGGCATGTTTCTCCAACTCAGACAAATCCTTCACTATGGGAGCCATTTGGGCAGTGTGATTCTTATAGGATGATCCCATTTGTTGCCTCTTTTGTCCATAAACTACTTTTCCATCAAATTCATCAGATGGTACTTTCATATCAGGCTGAATTTGTTGAATGGTAATATTCAGATGGTCTTCTATATCAGCTAGGTACTACAATAGTCATTCTATTAGGTTTGGAAAGCTGATATAAATTTTGTTATGTACCTGAGGTTCATTGTACCACATGCAACAACCTTTGACATCAGTCAAGTTGGTGTTCCAACAATTTCTGCCCCTGGATTTGCACCACTCCCCATGATACCACACCTAAAAATAATTGATAATTTCAGTAAATATAAAATGTAGTTAAGTTCCATATTTTAAAGTGTACCTTTTCAGGAACAGTGCTAACCAAACTTATAGCCAATCCCATTCTTTCTGCTCTGCCAACTCTACCTATTCTATGCACATAATTTGACTTTTCATCGGGTAATGTAACATTTATCATAAAAGGTAGTCCAGAAATGTCCAGCCCTCTTGCAGCAACATCAGTACATATTAAAAATTTAACCTAAGAATAAATATATTCCATGCATAATAGATATGAAACTGCTGATTCATTTGAACTACCTCATTCCTTTTGAACATTTCCAAGTTAGCTTTTCGCTCATTTGGTTTTCTGTCGCCATGCAGACACACGCAAGAATATTTCCGCTTGTCAATTTGCTTCAAATACTTCTCCAGATTGTCACAATCCAGCTTTGTACGACAAAAAATAATAGCCCTGTCCATATTGTGCTCTTCAATGGCCTTGAGGACGTACTCGCCTTTGAGCAACTTCACTGCTTCGCTGAGAGTTTCAGGGGTGTTATTACCTTAAAATAAATTATATGTTAACATCACCGAATTCCTTCGAGTATAGTGACTATTAATCTTATACTCTTAAAAAAAATAAATAAAAGAGCACAGCATATTCTGTGAACAAATGCGTGTTGAGGTAACAAAGGCTGTATTCCGTTGCAAAATCAGGCGAACCAGACCGGTAAACTACGGTAAAGAGCGATTCCTGAAAAACTTCGGTTTGAAATGGAACGGTTTGGTAAAATACTGCAAACATCAAATGGTGACGTTTTCTAAATTTTGATACCTCTATTATAAAATTTATCTTTTATGCATTTTTAATGTACCTATTCTCTGCTTTTACGTTTGCTTCTTCTTTTCAATGGAGTTTAATATTGAAAAGTACTTTATTAATAAACTGTTCAACTCGTTAGACAGCTCAAGTGAAGATTTGCAGGTCCAATATTAAAACAGATCAATAATAAATAAACAAATCTAATCAATATTTATATTTTTATAGCTTACAAAACATTGACGATTACTTGTCTTGTTTTTCATGTTTTCTTTAAATGTTCCTGACTTTAAGAAACTATGGCTGCGTGATAAGTTTAAATGGTCCTAAAAAGTCATTCTATTTAGTTAATGAAATTTATTTACCTTTACTGCCTACCTCCATTGCTTTTGGATGTAAATACAAAATATTATTACAAATTTTAGAAATTAAATGAGAATTTCACTCGAACTTCCAAATATTTGCTTGATTTCTGTCACATAAATAAAATTTATTGACAAACAAAACCAGAAAAACCAGCCTGTCCACGCTGGTTAGTTTGGTGACAGTTATAACCGAAATTTTCAGGAACCGTGTTCCGTAATAACTAAACTTTCAGGAAACCGATAGAAACTTAGAAACGGAACATAAAACCATAACCAAGGTAAGCAATGGAATACACCCAAAGTGTTTTTACCTGGTCTGACATTGTCCAGTTGATGGACACCATCTGTCATAATATGCCTTCTTAAATTCCCCCACATTCTGTCATTTTGTGGGTCTACTTTGACCACAACATGATGCACAGTCTCTGGTACAGCATCCTCACCTTTTAGATCCACCCATGTAGGGAAATGCATCAATTTCTCTGCCATTTTCTTCACCTGGAACAGCATGTATTTAAATCTACCTTTTAAATCAATGAATATATTGATATTTTACCTCAAAGGCATGTAATGTAGCACTACAGACGATCATTTGAAGTCTTTTACCATCAGCAGTAATTTTTGGCATTTGCTTGTGCAGTCTTTCTATCAAATCTGTGTAACCTTGCTTGAGTAATCCATCAGCTTCATCAAGTACAAAGAACCTACAGTTTGATAGTGATAAATATCCACCTTGAATAAGATCCTCTAATCTCCCCGGAGTTCCCACAATTATATCAGCACCTAAAATTCATTTTTAGGTCATTTTCTAAAATTCTAAATCACCATTAAGTAATAAACCTGTGCTTTGCAAGAAAGATATTTGTTCTTTGACATTAACGCCTCCTATAACTAATAATTCCCTCAATGAAGGGTTTTTGATGTGCTTTTTAAATAGTTTTATCTGATTATGAGTCTGTTCAGCCAGTTCTCTTGAGGGCTCAATTATTATTGCTTGTGGTGCATTATTTACAACTGAAAATTCAAATTTTTAACTGACAATACACAACATGGAGATAAAATATTACCTTTAACTACGCCTTCTGTACTATTAACATTTCCATTATTGTTAACAATAACTTTACCTTTGGGGGCAGATACCAAAGGTAGATATTTATCAGGCAAATTGTGCTTAAAAGGTTTGTCACCAAAATTAAAAGCCATCTCTGCATTCTGAAATATATATAATAAAAGTGAAACAGCTCTTGTTAAAGACGTATTTTAGTTGCTTCGAATATACAATAAATACTAATAGTGAAATCAAAACATTATAATGACTGTAAGTAGTAACAGTAAACAAAGTGAAATGAATAAGGTGAGTAAAGATATACCATAGTACAAAACACAAAAAGTGAATTTCGATAAAATAGGTAAAAACCAACCGACTACTCAACATGCAATGAAAAGCCAAACCGAAGGTATTAAAACACGGTCGCAAAAAAGAGTAGTAATGTAAAAAAATACAAGTTCCATTAATATACACAGACCAACAGCTGCCGGCCGCGGAAGTACTATGATATTACCTTCGGCTGGACATTTATTGAAAATTTGATGAAAAAAAAAATTATTATACTATTTTTGAAAGCCAGTAGAATAGTTTGTTATGGAAATTGTTGGGATATGGATAAATTGTTTTTGTGTCAAAAAAGAAAAATACATAGAAGATATGAAGGTAAGAGAGTCTTGTACAGGTAAAATCAAGACTAATAATTTCAATGTCACAGAAATTTTTGTCCAAGAATGTGTTTTATATTATAAACAGAGGAATACATTTCAAACTGAGAGACACACAAGCTATCTATAAAATTCGCAATCTAAATTTTAATTATCCCTTAAGGTGCATACAGACCTTACGAGACGAGTGCCAAACAGCTTCAATCCATTTTTTGAGAGACGCCTGCCATGAGCCAAGCAAACTATGTATAGCATGCACCACAAAATAGGAATCAATTTTTTTTGATTCCTATTTTGTGGCATGCACTAACATCTCGCAGTCAAGTGAGTAAGTGAGCCAACCACAAACATGTCCAGACTGTGCCGCGAGATTTCTTTGATCGGCCATGGAAAAAACCACAAAGGACGGATAGAAATAAGACTCCGTGGGTTGTCTCACGAGACTCGTCCACAGTTAGCAAATTTGGAATGTCTCCCACTCATCTGGTCAGGTCTGGAGTCTGGACACACCTTTACATAAATTGTCTACTAAATAACTTGAAAGATATTTCCAATATTTACTTAATTTCCCATTATTATTACTTAGATAAAGTTATAGATTATTTACTATTAATTTGGATCCTTATAGCATTAATGAATTTTTGTTGAATGTTACAAATTATTGTACCGTATGATCGAAAAAAAAAACGGCGTCCAGTTGGCTTGGAAAAGACGATCAATGACATTTCCCATATAATTTTGCATATAAAATGACAGCGATCTTCATTTCATAGCCATCGCTGACGCCGTTTTTATTCGATCATACAGTACATGTCTCTTCTTTATGACACTATTTCATTTTATATTCATGTAATGTAAAAACAGTTATAAATTAATATTATTATTATTATTACCTTTAAAACTACAGCAGGAAAATAAGGTTGATTAGTGGGAATATTGGCAAAAGCTACTCCTAGGTCTACTCCATTCTTCAAAAACTTTATTTCCTTTAAATCCAAGTCTATGAGGCATGTTATCACGTCATTCTTTCCAAATGCCTCTCCATAGTTATCAAACTGTCTGTTGTTTGATTTTTTGCCTGTTCCACCAAAACCAAAACCAAACCTGTTCAAAAATAAACTTGTAACTGAGATATAAGAGCCTCAATTCCACTTACTTGTCAGTTCCAAGGTCCAAAGAAGCATTTATTGTTGACCAACCAACTCTACAAAGTCCCTCATCAGTTACTGTAGCCTCAAAACCCCATTTGCCACCTGAAACACCTCTGGTACACCGAGTACCATGCCATTCTTTTTGTTCACGTGACTGAACACGGATTCCATCGGGGGCTACTGCTAAGGCAGCTCCGCGATCATGGGTAGACATGGTCCAAGGTGGTGCTAGAAATAATAAAAAAATTGAACCATGTTCTGTCCTTTGCCCATTTAATACTTACAAACTTTAACAGATGATTTTGCTTTGCCACTCTCTATGTCCTTAAGAGTTTCCCATACAATTTGAATGATTGGTAGACAGAAAGCTGCAGTTTTACCAGATCCTGTTTCTGCTGCCATTAGAACATCACCACCTCCCAATACAAGAGGTATACTCTCAGCTTGAATATCAGTTGGTAAACTAAAGAATTTGCTTTATTAAAAACGTTTTTATATATTAAGATTAACTTACGTCCATTCCAGTTCTTCTATAGCTTTAGAAATCTCAGGAAGAACTCCAAATTCTGAAATAAAAAATATTAAGCAAAGTGTAGATTCTCTTTTAAATTATACCTTCAAATGCAGTCATTGTGTCTCTAAGATATTAAAAGTAAGCTTTTTAATTGTATTTCGTTCAGAAATAGGTATAAAGAAATTTGACTTAAATCAAAACTCAAAACAAATATACAGCACAATGGACAGCACCTAACCTTAGTTAGGCCTTATTCTTCTTTTACCTTTTTATGTGGCATGTGTCCCCAATAGAATCTTCTTTACTTCTTTTTAAGTTTTTTTTTTATTAATTTAGAGGCTTAAACTGTTGGGACTCTCCGGCCTGGTTTTTCTTCCAAAGTCCAAAAAATAGTTCATACTGGTGGTTCTTTCCTTAGATTAAGAATAAAAATAGATAGAGCAAGTCATTCATAAATTCACAAAATCGAGGTGCCTACATCGTTTTATCGGTGAGTGCCCCCACTACCATAGTTTATGGACAGCGGGGTAAAGAGGAAAGTGGTAGGGGAGTTTACAGCGGAAGAGCATCAAAACAGAATTTAACCTTGTTCGCTCGACCATCCGTTTCGAGTCGGTACATCAAAAGGCGTTCGCCAACAAATGCCTCTCTCCTATCGTATGGTATGGACGGGGACCGCACGATAGAACGGCACGAGAAGACCGGAGGCATTTGTTGGCGAACGCCTTTGATGTACCGACTCGAAACGGATGGTCGAGCGAACGAACGAACGAACGGCCGCATGCGTTCGGTCCCCGTCTAAATATACCGCACTTTCATTCGTTCGTTCGTTCGTTCGTTCGTTCGTTCGGATAATGAATACGCACCTTTAACGTAACTACAAAAACGTAACGTAATCCTACGTAAAAGAGCGGCCGTAATTTATCAGCCTTTTTGCCAATAAGTAGGGAGTTTTCGTTGCTTTAAAAAAATTCAACGGTACGGTTAACAGATACGTAACCATAACCGCTATTTTGACAGATAAAAAAACAGTTTTCGGACTTTCGGTTCATTGGTTCGGAGCCGACATACGATACGATAACCGAAAACTGACAGCTGACTGAGAGCACAGCCCGTAGCGTCGTGTTTTGATTTTTGGTTTTTGTATTGTTGTTTGATTTGAAAGTGCTTTATATGACTTTATTGGGTATCGCTATAGAGGATGAACAATTTAATTTTATTGGACTCTAGTGATGAATCGGATTTGGAGGATGCTATGCTGTTGGAAGGGTTTGAAAACAACATCGAATATCGAGCAGAACTTTATGGGGAGTTCAACCTAGAAATATTATCTGACCAAGAGTGCAAGCTAACTTCCGCCAGGGGGGTGACAGTGAAATAGGAAAATTGGAAACAGTCATTAGTGTCATTCCTGTCATTCTCCTCACGACAAGTATGGCCGCCTAGACAAAGATAGCATTGTTTTTGTCTAACTATTGTCTAACTTCACAGTTTAGAATTGACAGATTTCAGTTTCAGAGACAACTTCAGATTTGTTCTAGAACAAATTCGAAAATTGTGTCGAAAATATTCGACGCCATTTTAATTCATTCCGTTTAGTTTCGTTTTGGAAGTTCAATTTAATATTTCGGCTGAAATTTATAATTATAAAGGTAATAAAGTATATAAAATATATATTACATGAAGAATCCTGGAGAAAATGACGTTTCTGCCGTAGTAGGTATGTCCCATGTATATGAAAAATAGGTAGTAAATAAACACTGTTTTTACATTTTTTAGATGCAAGAAAATGGTGTTATAATCTCTTTGATCGGCGATTTTTTTGAAAATGGAAACAATTTACAGCAAGGTAAGATCATTTTTAACTATAGCCAACATCATTTATCTCCAATATGTGCGATTTATTGTCAATAATGCAATAAATCGGACTGATAATCTGATTATGTTATCCGACTAAAAGTCTCTTTTTGCTTCTTTTTGATTTATAAGCCAGGTCTCTTTGGGAATAATGGACGCTTTTTTAAACAGTATATTTATATTTTATACCTATTGATATTTTTACATTGTTAATTTTAGTATAAAAAAATTTGTTTTTCTGTTTTCAGGTTTTTGTATAAGGCTCCCGTTTTCATGTCCCTGTGTCCGTTTTCTGTCCTTGAAGTCTGCGAATACGTGTGTTTATTTACAAATTACTGTAAGTCATGCTTATACCTTAACTAATTTACGTTAAAAGTACATATAATTAACTAATTGGTATTGAAACAATACAATCCTCTATATTTTTATGTTTATTTAGTCACGTTGTTCCATACTTCAAATAAATATATGTGAATAAATTATTTTTTGGTTTTATTTATGAAAAGAAAAAATACAAAATACATTTGAACTGAAAGAGGGCCCGCCATTAAATAACCGGAAACGGAAGTGAAAATTAAGCCATCATGTCCTTATCATGTCAACCTGTCAATTGGAAAAATAGTTCTCCAGACGACAACGAAGGCTTTCGGTGGCGTATCGTGTTTCCACGATTTAACACAGAGTTGACACTTCTTTCTAGTTAATTATTTTTGACTTCCGCTTTGAAAAAAAAGACATTCCTCGATTAGTTGAAGCACTAAGAATTCCCAACGAGATTAACACAGATAAAATAAATAATCAAAACATAAACAAAATAGAATGAGGTCAGGTTTAGATCTGTATTTTTCAATGTTGTGTTTCTACTGCGCTAGTGCGCATGCGTACCGCTATGTTAACGGCTTTGGCTAACGTCCGTAAAATATCGGCAGCTAGCGGTTACGATATACGATAATCGAAATTGAAATGTCAAAGTTGTCAATTAGCGTTAACCGGCATTGCAATTTGTAAGCAACGAAAACTCCCTAGTAGTACGGCAGCGGCAGAAAATTAAAATATCAAAAGTATTTTTTTTAAATTATAATTTCACTCGTATAGTTCCTAATAGACCATATTTTCAGAATCGTGAAGATTTTTGAATGAAAACAGGCCCATTATTAATCCCTGATAAGAAATGTTCGAGCTTATAAAATTATTAGCTGAAGCTAAAATATTTTGATTAAATTTTGATTAAATAAAATTAGTGCGTTTAACGTTGGTGATAAATTAGTTAAAAACTGATGGTACTCTGAGAAAGTACAATGTTTTCAACTGTTTTTTCTCATGGTAATTCTAGTACCTATAATTTCACTGGTACCATAAAAAAAATCAATAAAAACCTTGACGTAATTAAGAACTGCTTAATCTAAAATCAAATTTTTTTATGTAAGCTAATACAAAATGCTCCAAATTGCTCCAAAAAAATATGATGTAGGTTACAATTATTAGCCTTTTTTATTCATAAATACGAAGTTTCATGACCAACATTAGCCCACAAATACCCTTTAGGTTGCCAAACTCTCCCGAAAACCATGGTTTAGTTTCCCAAAATAAATTACGTAGGTATGACAGTATATTACTGGGTGTTTCTTAGGTGCTGTAAAATATTGTTGTTAGTTATTTTTAATTAGTTTTAGAAAGGAAACTGTAATATATTTTCTCTTATTCAATTTAATTTTCGATATACAAAGTATGCAAATTTAAAAATACTTTTTAATGTGTAATTTTAACTAGCTTTTCCCTGTTAAGCCTAAGTTTTAATTCGTTTTGTGCTTATATGATATTAAATTTAATATTATTAGAAATCTCATTAATTTTGAATAATTATTGTTAATATAAACTAAAAAGACGTGTCAATGTGTCTATCATGCGTCAATATTCATTCAACAACTTTTATCGAGAATATGTAAATATATGTTTTGGTGTTACCCTTAATCAAGGGTGTTACTTTCATTAATGTCTAACTACATAAAATATACAGAAGTATTTACTTTCTTTTTTTTCTTTTTTTTTCTCATGGAAAAGAATATCAATATCTTGAATTTAAGTAATACTTATTGGTAACTAGTTCTGAAAAAAGGACCCTCCCTCCGTGCCCTTCACAGTCGAGGAGCGTTGAGCACGCTTGTATGCGCGTCATACCTGTATTATCTACATTTGTATTACCTATATATTGACAACCGTTTAGGTACCCGATATGGCACCCAAGCTCATAGTACCGTATGATCGAAAAAAAAAACGCGTCAAAGACGACTAAGTATTGAAGAATGACAATCGATGATAATTTCGGCGCGGTCAATCTCTAGACGTCATTTAACTAAAAATTGACATAAAACTTGTCAAAAATTAACACAAGATTGTATAGTAGGCTGCAACATCTACATTCCATAATTCTAATTAATCAATTCTCACGACTTTGAAAGAACCAATGCAAAGAACGAACATAGAACGAACCTCAAGAACGATCCTTCTTTACGACTCGTTCCTTCAAATTTTATAAATCCGTAGTCGCTATTTGAACGAACCAAGCAGTGAAAACTGCACTAGCAAAAAACTAAAATACTTAAATATTATGACAAAACCCCAATTTCAATATTATAATATTATTTTAATGAGATCGACATGACGGCGGTGGCGTGAAGTATATATTGATAATTTCTGATTTCTGCCGTAGAGTGCGCTGCGGTCGGAATTTGTCGAAATCAACTAAATGCACCAAGCCTATATAAACTATAAACGACTGGTTCAATCTTTCCCGACCTCTTTGGATATTGCAAGCACGTTTTTTGACGGTGGACAAAACGGTATTTTATTCACCATTCACTGCGTCACAGCTTTTAGGAACTTCTGCATCACTGTGCGGCGCAGCCGGTGTGAACGCACCTTTATGAAATAATACTGCGTGTATCAGAGACACCATTAAAAATTTTGAAATACTTTAAATACAAAAAATGTTTATTTTTTAATTCTCCATCTAATAAAGAAATAATATACAGGGTGTTCTATTAAAAAAAAACAAAGAAAAATTATTTTATATTTAAGACAGTTTCGGGTAGAATTTTGAACACCCTGTATGATTTAAGATTACGATATTTACAAGTAACTATAGACTATCTAAAGTAAATACCTAATATGGTTTTGATTTCAGGACAGTTCTTGTATTTGTAATAATTATTTTAAGGAAGGTTAAAAAATATAAATATTTTTTACTTTTATTAATATCTCTGAAATTATCGAAATAGATTTACTGATATCTTAGGATTAAAGTGATCTGAAAGGAAGCCAAAAAGCAATAATATACAGGGTGTACATGTAAAAAAATCATCCTGATCCACTCACACTTTATTGAGCCACCCTATAGAAGTTAAAATATTTTTCTGAAATACATCGTAGTACATACTTAAACAAAATTCTCAAGTTTTTTATCTTATCAAGGAGCTACAGATGTCCGACGCACTATTGCCGGACCCTGTATAAAATTCTCGTGTCAATTCCGCAGGTGCCTCCAATTTTATTTAATTTACTAAATCTATACTAATATATAAAATCCTGAAGTGACTGACATACTGATTAATCACGATCATGCTCAAACCACTCAACGTAAGAAGCTCAATGTTGGCATACAGGTTGATTCTAGGGTGTAGAGGTTCGATAAGAAGGGATTTTTCGAAATTCCAGTTCCAAGAGGGTGAAACCACCCTTCAAGTATTACAATATTTTTTATTTAAAAAACGGTCAAGTTTCCGAAAAAAACGCTTAAGCACGTATATTTTATTTTGTTTCTATTTTTTACATATTTTAAGATTTTTTAAAAATGTATACAGGGTGTTTCGAAAAATCTGGTCATTGATTAATCACGATTCTGCTTAAAGCGCTTGACGTAAAAAGCTGATTTTTGGAAAACAGATTGACTTTAGGGTGTAGAGGTTCGATAAGAAGGAATTTTTGGAAACTCGAATTCTAAGGGGGTGAAACTATCCCTGAAATATTAAAATATTTTTTATTTAAAAACCGGTGAGTGTTTCGGAAAAACTCTTAAACACGTATATTTTATTTTGTTGTTTTACATATTTTAAGATTTTTTATAAATTTATACAGGGTGTTTCATGAAATATGACCATTGAGTAATCACAATTCTGCTTAAACTGCTTGATGTTTAAAGCTGATTTTTGGCAAACGGATTGACTGTGGGGTGTAGAGGTTCGATAAAGAGGGGTTTCTCGAATCTCAAATTCCAAGAGGGTGAAAACGCCCCTCAAATATTACAGTATTTGTTATTTAAAAAACGGTTAGTCTTTCGGGAAAACGCTTGGACAAGCATAATTTATTTGTTTTTTTACATATTTTGAAATTTTTTAAAAAATCATACAAGGTTTTCCAAAAAGTTGGGTAATTCCTTAACCAAGATTTTGCTTAAACTGCTTGTAACTAAGTGTTTTTTGTGATGGGGCGGTTTAAACATCTTTTATAGACGAATAGTGATATATCATTCCCATAACCATCTCGAGAGAGAGAGAGGTCATAGAAATAACCCCTAGACAGTGTATAGGACTCGGAATTGTTACCCACTAAAAACAGTCCACCTCCGAAGAACCAGGGCCCGTATTCTGTAACTTTGAAAACGCTAAGCGCTTTTAGACGCTCAGCGTATATGATGTTAATTTTCGCTGAGCGCGCACTTAATTAACGATTTCGGTATTCTCGTCTGACGCGCTTAGCGTCTTTACTGATTGCGCTGAGCGCTTTGACAACGGTTGCCTTAAAGGATCGTTTTGCTTGTCGAACTGTCAGTGAAAATCGAAAAAATTGTGATTTTGTGCGTTATCTTGCTCTTTAGTGAAAATTACTACTTCTTCTATAAATTCCTCAATAAGTAATTGATAATTTACGACTTGGCAGCTATAAATATTGTTCAAAACATCGAAAATGCTGAGAAGCGACTTCAACACTTTCCTCGTATAATAAGAATAATGACATATCCATAGAAAAATAGCTTGACATAACTAAGACATAACTCAACAATAGGTTATGAAATTCAGGTAACATTGACATTTTTCATTGTTACATCCGTCAGTTATCAACTTTTGACTATTACCTACATTAGAAATTGTGATGTTGCCAATATGTGCGCAACGCGTATCCAGAACACGATTCGTATGGCAACGAGAATACCAAAATCGACTGCCTTGCGTTTCGCTGATCGAATACTTGCGCTCACCGCTTTGAAAGCGTAACGTTTTTATGTCAAAGTTACAGAATACGGGCCCAGCTGCCCAGTAGCGTAACTTCAAATGTGAGGCCCCCCGCAAGTTTTTTTGGGGACCCTTATATTAAAATAAAAAAAAAACACTAAAAAACATAATATATCTTAATATAGCTATATAAGTCATTTAAAAAATAAACTTATTCCAAATAAGAACAAATTAAAGGAAGATAAAAAATAAAACATTACAAAATAAATCAACATAAAACAAAACTTAGGTATTAAAAGGAAACTAAATAATAAAAATAAATAAACATAAAGACTTTTTCTAATAAAAATATGATTCAAATTAAAATAAATTAAGGGAACAAATAAAATGTAAAAAAGGAACAAATAAAAATAAGGATTGAAAATAAGGTAAAAAGTTTAAACAAAATTTTTTCTCCTTGCTTTAAAATTGACAAAGGCGTTAATCAAATCTTTAAAGTTATTTTTTTTTTGGCTTCTTCAGTCTCAATAGCTAATTCATTCCCAATGCATTTACCCGAGACTGAGTCATGCTTGTGCGCAAAAAACATTTTTTCCCTTTTATTTTTGGAAATTATGGTGGACGCTGTTCATATATAATATGTACTAGCGTGTACCAGCGACTTCGTTCACGTCGAATTAATCATTTGTAATGGTGATGATAAAGCAAAGCAAGAATTTCCATTAACATACAAACTGGATAAAATTTTCTCACATTTATGTCAGCATGAGAAAAAACAATATGGCGATTTTATTATATAACTTGGTAATATTTGAGGGGTAGTTTCATCTCGTTGGAATTTGACTTTCGAAAAATCCGTTTGCCAAAAATAAGCTTTTTACGTCAAGAAGTTTAAGCAGAATCTTGGTTAAGAAATTACCCAACTTTTTGGAACACCTTGTATGGTTTTTTAAAAAATTTCAAAATATGTAAAAAAAACAAATAAATTATGCTTGTCAAAGCGTTTTCCCGAAAGACTTACCGTTTTTTAAATAACAAATACTGTAATATTTGAGAGGCGTTTTCACCCTCTTGGAATTTGAGATTCGAGAAACCCCTCCTTATCGAACCTCTACACCCCACAGTCAATCCGTTTGCCAAAATCAGCTTTAAACGCAAAGCAGTTTAAGCAGAATCGTGATTACTCAATGGTAATATTTTATGAAACACTCTGTATAAATTTATAAAAAATCTTAAAATATGTCAAACAACAAAATAAAATATACGTGTTTAAGAGTTTTTCCGAAAAACTTACCGGTTTTTAAATAAAAAATATTTTAATATTTGAGGGATAGTTTCACCTACTTAGATTTCGAGTTTCGAAAAATCCCTTCTTATCGAACCTCTACACCCTAAAGTCAATCTGTTTTCCAAAAATCAGTTTTTTACGTCAAGCGCTTTAAGCAGGATCGTGATTAATCAATGACCAGATTTTTCGAAATACCCTGTATACATTTTTAAAAAATCTTAAGATATGTATAAAAACCAAATAAAATATACGTGTTTAAGCGTTTTTTCGGAAACTTGACCGTTTTTTAAATAAAAAATATTGTAATATTTGAGGGGTGGTTTCAGCCTCTTGGAACTGGAATTTCGAAAAATCCCTTCTTATCTTGAGCAGGATCGTGATTAATCAGTATGTCAGTCACTTAAGGATTTTAAATATTAGTATAGATAAAACAAATTTACTTTATAAAAAACAAAACTTACTGATGGATAGATATACTCAGAGTAATAAATAATTTTCAGGGTCGTTAGTCGTTTTCGTTACAAAATTGGACCGATTTTTCTTACTGAAAACCCTACCTGAAAAGAAAATTAGACATTCAAGCCTGTTATGGACATCTGTTATTTCTTAGAAAATTGTCATTAAGTAATGAATAACATAATGAAAATTATGTTATTAAGTAATGTTTGGAAATTAAGTTGTTAATTGGTTATTAAGTAATCTCTTCTTTGTACATATTTAATTACTTTTAAAATATTTTACTCAAGCCAAATTATTGTTTTAGAAAATAATAAAAAAAAATAATTATAAACCGTAGGGGGCAATTACCCCCATTACCCTACGCGTCGCCAGTGTACAATCAAATATTACATATAAGGGTCGGGTACAGAACTTTAGTTTTAAATATTTTAACTTTTAAAAAATCCGGCTTTATCAGATTACCAAGAAAATATTTTACAAATCTTATCTTATAAATGGAATTATGTGATTAACAACCAATTGAAAGTGTCATTTTCTATATCTTATCATGATTAATAAGTTGAAAGAAAGACTGAATTTGTATATCAGAATTTCCATAAACAATGTCAAGTACAGTCAAGTCTAAAATAATCAGAAAGAATGGATAGGGTGTCTCTTTGTTTGTGCTTTATTTTAGGGACAATTTATTTAAGTAATAGTGTGGGAGATGAAGATATTCGCTGTACTACATCCAGTTGTTCGGTAAAACGCCTAAAATCGATTTACAACTAGGTACTAAACATTATGTTATATTAGAGCGCAACATGCGATGACATTCCTGAGAAATGTACCAGAAATATAACTAATCCAGGCACTTACATGTTGTCACCGGATATTTGTAACTGTTGCGAATATTGTTTAGCAAACCTAGGTAAGATTTAAGATTCTCATTAAAATATATACAGGGTTGTTCACCACATTCGACACGGAGTATTGTAGCTAAACGATTAGATTTTTACAAATTGTAGGTTTTGGGTTCGTTGAAAGACTATTAGAGCTACAATTTAAAAATTATTTTTCAAGATACAGAGTGTCCCAAATAAGTAAAAAATATTATAGTTGTATTTTTTTAAATGGACACCCTGTATATTATTCCATTTTTAGATTCTAGGATTAAAATAAAGGTAAATTTGATTAAGGTTTATCGCACTTAAACCTTACCGTTTTTGAAATATTTTCAATTTTGTGAAATTGCAGTAAAAAATTTAGAGCTTCATTTCTCCAAGGGTATCAAAGTTTTTAATACCGTAAAATGGGGTGAATAGAAAAGGGCTTCATTTCGCCAAGGGTATTAAAGGTTTTAATACTAAATATTTACTGAAGATTATTTATTGATCAAATATTATGTTGCAATAATAAAAATTATACTACCTTATACAGAGTGTTCAAAAAATTATATTAAATAATTGCTAGCTTTCAACGGCAATAACTTGTTTAATTTAAATGGAACACCTTGTATATTTTACGTGAATCAAATGCACAATTTAATTGTCTATCAAATTGTATTATACCATTTTTTACTTATTTCTTCAAGTTTTCGTAGAAAATGCATGTTCTTATTATTTAGACCTCATTATTAATCACTATACCCATGGAATATTGACATATTAGATTTTTTAAAGCAACTAATTATAAAATATACAGGAGGTAAAAATAATAATATTGTAAACCCATTCCCATTTGTTTGCAAAAATAAAACTATTTAAATCTTTGTAAAAGAGTATATTAATTATTACTAATTATTAATATATTTATATTCCGCCATTATTTCCGCATTTTAATGTGGATTTGACTCAGAAATCAATACAATAATAAGTTATAAAAATGAACGTATCTGTTGTTATAAATAAGCATTCGTCAAAAAATGAAATAAAATTTATAAGGTGTTATTTTTTACCACACTGTCTAATACACGTACTAAAAATTCAGTTTTTTAGTATTTGGAGCAATTATTGTTACAGTGCTTTCAGATGGAGCGGACCGTCCGCACGGATTTTTTTTCAAGATAGCTCATCCGGGGTGCAACTTTGTTCATGTTTCAAAGCGATAGTAAAGTAATTTGTAGCTTGAGGCACTATGTTCAGTAGCAACATCGATTCGTAGCGATATTCTGATTTCTCGCTTTGTGGCGTAGACCGTGTCGCACACGTGTGCAAGAGTGTGATAGTGATATCATATTTCGCAGCATTTGAGCGACAATAGTTTTGCAATGAACATAGTACCAATCTGGCTTCGAAATCGCTTCTAAACGATCGGTTGCTAACTTGAACAAAGTTGCACCCCCGGACGGAGCATACGCGACCCATGTGAAATTGTTCATTGAAATTCATTGAACTGGCGGACGGTCCGCGCGGACGCTCCGCTCCATCTGAAAGCGCTGTTAATCAACGTAAACAGTCAATTAATGTAGTTTAAATACTGGTATCATATTAATTGGTGCTATTTAACAAATATTTAAACAGTTTTTCTTATTTTTTAATGAAATAATAGAATTATATCGACAATATTAGTATCTGGTACTGTTTGAAAACTTGTTATATTTTTAAAAATAATATAAAATGTCAATATTCCATGGTTATAGTGATAAATGAGGTCTAAATTATAAGAAAATGCCACTCCTGCGAAAACTTGAAGAGATAGGTAAAAATTGGTATAATATACAATTTGATAGACAATTAAATTGTGCATCTGATTCGCGTAAAATATACAGGGTGTTCTATTTAAATTAAACAAGTTATTGCCGTTTAAAGCTAGTAATTATTTAATATAAATTTTTAGATACCCTGTATAAGGTAGTATTTTGTTTATTATTGCAACACAATATCTGATCGATAAATAAACTTTAGTAATTATTTAGTATTAAAAACTTCGATACCCTTGGAAAAATGAAGCCTTAAAATTTTTACTGCAATTTCATAAAATTGAAAATATTTCAAAAACGGTTTCAGTGTGATAAATCTTAATCAAATTTACCTTTATTTTAATCGTAGAATCTAAAAATGGAATAATATACAGGTTGTTCTATTTAAAAAAATACAACTTTAATATTTTTTATTTATTTGGGACACTCTGTAACTTGTAAAAATATTTTTAAATTGTAGCTCTAATAGTCCTTCAATGAACTTAAAACCTACAATTTGTGAAAATCTAATCGTTTAGCTACAATACTCCGTGTCGTATGTGGTGAACAACCCTGTATACATATATACAGGGTGTCCCAGATTGAGCGTGCATTAGAAGTTGCAAGAGAATTACAACATCTAGTTCAGAGATTTTTTGCACATCATAGTTTCACAATGAGATCTATCGATTAAAAATATTTTAAATATGGTAGCGCTTCTGGAAATATCGGAAGTTGACAGCAACTTTCTTATTTTAAATCGGTGCCCCCAGTTTTTATTGCATACTTAAATTCTCTGTAAAATTTTATGAATTTTGATATTAAACACTCTATATCTAACATTGACCGTTTTTGAGAAAAAAATATTTTAAATTTTTGAATAAAAAATGCCTGTCAAAAATATGTGTATAGCCTAAACGTCAAATTTAGTGATTACCACAGCCACTGTGCCATAAAGAGAAAACATGTGGCTATCTATTTCAAAAATTAAATTGTTCGAATGTCATATAGTAATGGCCGCAGCTGTCATAAAATTGAGCGTTTAAAAAATTATTATAAATAATTTTTTTCAAATGGAAACCCACTTTTTTTATTTCACTAGTGAAAAGGTTTTTCAATTCGTTACTTTTTGACTATACATATTCCTATACCTAAAATAAATCGTTTTTAAGTTATTTAAGATTTAGTTTTAAAGTGTATATTTTTCTTGATTTTAACCAGTAGCCTATGACTTTAAACGTCAATTGATGTAAAACAATAGATCTGGCCGTGTCATATTGTGATGCTTTGTTCAAAAAGCAGCATCATTTTCGAGCCAACTTTGCGCTGCTTTTTTTTTCGATCATACGGAATATTATTAATAATATTAACTGTTAGATATCACTAGAAAGCAAAAATACGAGATATATTTTTATAAATACATTTTTTAAATTCTTAAGCAAGCAGTATTTATAATATAGGAAAATCAAATAATTCGTTTCCTGACAGATGGAAATAAATTGTCTGACCGTTTGACACTTAATGTCAAAGGAAGCTAGATAAAATTAAGAAAAAATATACAAATTCAAATTAAATCTTAAATAACTTAAAAACGATTTATTTTAGGTATAGGAACATATATAGTGTATCTGTATAGTTAAAAAGTAACGAATTGGAAAAACTTTTTCATTAGTGAAAGAGGGTAGTTGAAAAAAAAAGATTTATGATAAACTTTTAATCGCTCTATTTCATGACAACTACCGCCATTATTATATGACATTTGAACAATTTAATTTTTGAAATAGATAGCCACATGTCTTCTCTTTATGTCAGAGTGGCTGTGGTAATCACTAAATTTGACTTTTAGGTAATACAAATTTTTTTGACAGGTAGTTTTTTTCGTCCAGAAATTTTAAATATTTTTTTTTCCTCAAAAACGATTAATGTTAGGTATAGAGTGTTTGACATCAATATTCATAGAATTTTATAGATAATTTAAGTATGTAATAAAAAATGGGGGCACCCATTTAAAATAAGAAAGTTGCGGTAAACTTTCTTATTTTGTAATACCGGTTGCGGTATTTCCGGAAGTGCCGCCATATTAGAAATATTTTTAGTCGATAGATCTCGTTGTTAAACAATGATGTGCAAAAAATCTCCGATCTAGATATTGTGATTCTCTAGAAACTTCTAATGCACGCTCAGCCTGGGACATCCTGTATATCTGTATACATTCAAATGCAAAAAAACACAACGGAGAAATTTTTGGTCAAATTTCAAAGTGTTTATTTTTGTTATTTTTGGCCCTATTTTTATGATTTTTTTAGCAAACTGTGTATAATTATATGAACTTTAATTCGTAAACTAAGTTTTTTATAAACTTTAGTATTTGGCATATTATACAGGGTTATTCGAGGGGTTGTTTTTTTACCTTAACTTTAAAACACGCTGTGCAATAATTTCGTGTGTAAATTTTCCTAAAATATAATTTTACGGTCAGAATAATTACTCTGAGCATTTTGTTTTTTGATTCATATAAATATGTACATCCTTTGGTTAATTTTTAAGAGCGAAATGAACTGATATCGATCAATTTGCAATTTTTTTAATTATCATTACTTTTTGATGTAATTTTTTAATATGACGAGATGGTTTTGGTGACTATTGTCGTAATGTCATATTACGCTATTACGCTGCATGCTGCATTTGATACATTATACTAAATAAAAAAAATAAACGTTAAAGACTAATGATACAGTCATGGTTTCAATAAACATTAATAACAATAACAGTACTAACGATATTAAAGAAAGCATCTGTAACAAGTTAAGTATACAAACAGAAAAAAAATGTAAAAAATAACCTAATACCGTTGATTGAAAGAACTGTTCACAAAACAAATTTCTTTCAATCAACGCTAATACATTGCATTGCTTCCCTTGGCTGCTATAACTGCCTGTATACGTCCGTTCATACTGTCATTGAGGCTGCATATATCATATTGTGTTATGCTTTCCCATTCTTCTTGAAGAACCAAGCGAAGTTTATTTTTTTTAAGTTCTAGTAAGTTCTTAAGTTAGTTTTATAAGTTCATTTCGCTCTTAAAAATTAACCAAGCATATATTGAAATGATCCAAAATAACAAAATGCTCAGGAGACATGGTTCTGACCGGAAAATTATTTTTTAAGAAAATTTACACACCAAATTATTGCACAGGGTGTTTTAAAGTTAAGGCAAAAAAACAACTCCTTGATTAACCCTGTATAATATGCTAAATACTAAAGTTTATAAAAAACTGAGTTTACAAATTAAAGTTGATATAATTTTGTACAGGTTGATAAAAAAATCATGAAAATAGGGCTAAAAATAACAAAAATATAACACTTTAAATTTGACCAAAAATTTCTCCGTTGCGTTTTTTTGCATCTGAATGTAATAATAATATATTAATGTACCCCTTTATCAGACGAAAATGAGGCTTGCAGTGTGGGAGACCCTTCTAATGGGAAGCACACTTCGATTTGTGGACCAGGTTTATCGTGTCTTACAGTAGATGGAGAAACAGATGGAACTTGCCAGAAAAGTAAGTTTTGCAATAGAGAAAATGGTTTATTAGAAAAAAAAAGAAGGTTGAAATTACGAAATAATTATTTTTTTGATAAAATATTTAGTGACAACCACTTGTATGAACGAACAGAAATCCTATGACGGGAGAAAGAAAAATGGTACCTTGGGCCAAATGGAAACAAAACCATCGTGCGATGAAGATGGACTGTATAGTGCCTACAAGTGTATACCAGGAGAAATGTAAGATTTCTTAAAAAATAGGACCGAACTATAGTGACTTACCGGGTGCGTCCCAAAAGAGGCTCACCCTTATAACTTTTTTATTTTTTCAGATAAAAAACGAGATTTGGTATGTTATATGACATAAATTAGGATTGATTGACGTATTCAATTGTTTTCGGTCACTTCCTGTTTCACCGAAAATGACTACAACTTTTAATTTTTAAATGGCACACTCGGTATTTTTTTACTTTATTTGATAGAAAATGACACTCTGAACCGAATGACATATATCATATGTCAATTTTTGACATATTTGCCCAAAAACAAATTGTATTTTAAATTTTAATCTAAAATGCCATGGCTGTATTAAAAACGCTAATTTTTCAGCAAGGAGCCTTGGGAAAATAGATTTGATCGTCTAATGTTTTTAGTGTCTTGTCCTGACCGGTTAAGAGATGCCCAAATCGTATTTTTAATCATATCTCAATTTTTTCAAATCAAACGAGGGTGGCTCATTAGCGTATTTGGAAAAAGTATTTTTTTACGAATAATTTGATACCGCACATTTGGTATTTCGAGTCAGATTGTCGTTACGAACCGCATGTTATAATTTCAAATAAACCATATGCGAAAATGTCAAAAGTTGACATGTCATTCTATTTAGAGTGTCATTTTCTATCATGATACAAAGAATACAAGGTATGATATTGCGCAGGTTGGTCGCTACGTCACAGGTGATAAACGGCACTATTGGTCGGCAAGCTCTGCGCGCCGATTTCAAATTGTCAAACAGATTGTGTCATCTGTGAAATTTGATTGTGTCAAAATATGAAAATAATTTTTCAAATGTCAGGCTCGATGTCAAAACATACCTTTTGGGGTTATGTCCTAATTCTTCCCTATTTTAGGTCTTTTTTTATTAGTGGCAATTGAACAATATGGATATTTTTTGTATGGCGTATGACGTCACAGGTGGTATGCGCAAACTTAACGAAATTGGAGCCGCTATCGATCATACCTTGTTTTCTTTGTACCATGATTTTCTATCGAATAAAGTAAAAAAATACCGAGGGTGTGGGTGTGTCATTTAAAAACCAAAAGTTGTAGTCATTTCCGGTGAAACGCTAATCAATCCTCATTTATGTCATATACTAACATACCAAATCTCGTTTTTTTAACTGAAAAAATAAAAAAAGTTATAGGAGTGAGCCACTTTTGAGACGCACCTGACATCCAAAAAATTACAGAAATACAATTTGAGTGTCGATTAAAATGACAGATACTCAGGGATTTTGTTGTTGGACAGATTATATTCAACTATAGACACTAGAGTCTAGAGCACGACACAAAATTTATACGTATCTCTCGATACATAACGCAAGAACTTACTTTAAAGCCGTGGATGCTTTGTCGCGCAAACAGGAGTTAAAGCAAGCATTTTGACTATTTTTATTAGAATTGTACAGGGCGAGTCTTAAATAAGTGCAAATATTTTTAGGGGTGGTATATTTCGACCCCAGAGGAACAGAATCGTGCATTTTCATTATATAAATATTTTTACATGTTTTGAATTTAAGTCGGCCATATTAGGTCCCCATCGCATTCGATCGAAGTTTTTTCACACAGACTATGCTGCAAATTGGGGCTCAGAATTTATTACAAATTGGTAATCAGAATTAACTCTACTGCTCTAAATGCCACAAAAATAACAAAATAATAGTTTTGAACAATAACGAAACGTTAAAACACAAGAATCTTCAAATAAATAACTGTCACTGTCTAAAAATTTTAGCGCGGAATGCAACAACGCAGCGGCCCTAGCCCCTCTGGCCCTAGCTAGATGATGTCGACGGGCGTAGAGAAACTGCCAGTTTAGAGAGTATACAGGGATCGAACAATACTTAGTATCCTTCTATGGACAATACATAATACATTTAACATCTATAGTCTGTCCAACGGGCAATGGAAAATTTCGACAAATGACATCCAAAAAATTACAGAAAACACAATTTGCCTGTGAATTAAAATTATAGACATAACTGTCATGGATCCTGTCATTGGACATGTAACGGTTAAAATGGATACTTGGCTAGTTTAAAAACTAGCCAGCTATTTTGACAACTACTAAATTGAAAACTAAATTTTTATCCAATTTTAACGTATGTATTGTATATTTACAATTGTATATTGATTGTTTTATTTGGCTGTTTGAATGCTCCCATATTAGAACATTTCTTCTTTTTTTTTATTTTTTTTTTAATTTTATTTTACTACTTGAACCCACTAGTAAGCTCTTACATGCAATATATACGTATAATCTCATTCTTAAATTGCAAGGATTTCAGTTTGCAAACTAGTCAGGAATCTTGCTATTTTGGGTGACTGAAACTAATGGAGTTATCATATTAGCCATTATAACTAAAATAACTGGTTTGATGTGAAAACAAAAATGTAAAATTTTGACATTATCCAATACGAATATATAGTTTGCAAACTAACCAGCAGGGGCGGATACAGAAATTTATTTTAGGTGGGGCCTGGAATGTACTTTAGGGGGGGCCCAAGTAAAAGGTAATGTAGAATATGCTTTTTAGAGCGCCATTCCAAACCCATAAGCTTAATATTTAACCCAAGTTAGAGATTTTAGGGGGTGCCTTGGCCCCATGGGCCCCCACTCTGTATCCACCACTGCCAACCAGCTAGTTTGTAAACTAACCCTTGACTGCCTGCTATTTTGCAAGAATGCATGGGCGGATTCTTTCAAAATAACAGCGCTTTTAGCAAAGTTTACAGAATAAAATATAAGTTCGGTCACTTAGCATCGGCACTTTGAAAATCGCGTATCAAAAGCCAGAAGCCGCCTCGTCCGACACGCCGGATTTCGATGAAAACAGGAGTGGAAGCCGGGGTAAATAGAAGCCGTATTTTTACCGATTGCAAGGTGCGACAAGGTGCAGGGGAACGTGGGGTATTTCAAAAATACCTAATGGTAAATCTACAAAAGAAAAAATATACTATCAGTTTATTGGTGTATTACATATAAATATTTAGACATGGCAAGATAAAAAAGCTATAGCAAAAATAAAATAAATTTTAAAAACAAACACAAAAAATAAAGCTACACAATATCAACAGTAAATAATGTAAAAGTATATTACGTAACGAGTGTTTTGGAAAAAATAATATTACGCACGAGTGCAGTATTCCATGAGTGCGTAATATGGTTTTCCAACACGAATTACGTACACTATATAATTCAAAGCTGAAACTACTAAATGTCAACAACTTTTGATGTTTAAATGGTATCCTCGGTATTTTTTTACGTTATTCGATAGAAAATGATACTCTGAGTAGAAAGACATATCATATGTCAGCTTTTAACAGTTTCACATATGATTTATTTGAAAGTATAACACGCGGTTTATAACGACAATTTGACTCGAAATACCAAGTGTGTGGCATGAAATTATTCGTAAAAAAATACTTTTTCCAAATATACTAATGAGCCACCCTCTTTCCATTTGAAAAAATTAAGATATGGTTAAAAATACCATTTGGGCATCTTTTAACCGGCCAAGACAAGACATGGAAAACATTAGACGATCAAATCTATTTTTCCCAGGACTCCTTGATTAAAGTTTTGTTTTTAAAAGAGCTATGACACTCAATATTGAAATTTTAAAAGATTTTTAAGCTAAAATGCCAAAGTTGACATATAATATGTCGTTCTATTCAGAGTGTCATTTTTATCGAATAAAGTAAAAGAATGCTGAGGTTGCCGTTTAAAAATCAAAAGTTGTAGTCATTTTCGGTGAAACCGGGAAGTGACCGAAAAAAATGAAAACGTTAATCAATCCTAATTTAGGTCATATACTAACACACCAAATCTCATTTTTTTTTATCTGAAAAATAAAAAAGTTATAGGGATAAGCCACTTTTTGAGACACACCTAGTATATGATTTTTCGTGTAAAAAAATAAAGTGTTCTTGAATAATTCTAATTAGATATTTTAAATAATTTTTTTCCAGTGGCGAAAAACTCAATATTATTTTTAAGAAATAATAAAAATAATTATGCTTTTTTCTAATAAACTAATAATTATTTAACTAAGGCTAATGTGATCAGTAACATTTTGCAATGAAAATTAAATAATCACTTGAAAAATAATTCCATATGCATGCGAGACCACTCTGTAATAACGCCAAAATCAGAGTAATACGCCGAACGTGATCCGCCGTGTATGCTGGGTCCAAAGTCCACACACCAGTAATACACTGGGAAACACGTGCGTGAAGTGGCTTTTGATACCTGCCGCCGGCACAAGTGACGGAACTTATATTTTATTCTGTAAACTTTGCTTTTAGTTAGTTTGCAAAATAGCTGGCTAGTTTTAAAACTCGCCAAGTATCCATTTTAGCCGTAACAGACAGACTATACAGGGTGTCCCAGAAATAAGTGCAAGTATTTTAACTGGTGGTATAGTTCATCCCCAGAAACACGCCTATGAGGTCTTGATCGCGAAAAAAAAATTGAAAATTCGAAATTTTTTGGAGTTTTTTTTTAGTTTTTAGTTAAAAAACATAATGTCTTGATAATATGGCAACATAGGTATTAGATTAAATTTACAAGAAAATCCAGAAAAGATCCAGTAGTTGTCAAAATTTTAGCAAAAAATATTTTTTTTGGAAATTTTCAAAGTAAAATAACTCCGTTCTTTTGGACTTATTTGAAAAACGATAAAGAGAAAATATGTTTCTTTTATCGAGATTAAACTTAGACCCCTTAAAATACTTGCACTTATTTCTGGGACACCCTGTATATATTTTTTATATCATTTTTTATTTGACTTATTATTAACATAGCTGCTACTGTACCGCATCAAATGGAAGTCGAATTTTTGGACAGGCTGACTATAGTACAATGAGCAACTACATGAATTGCGGTAAATGACCATTTATTTCTACAGGGTGTTCAAAACTGACCCGAACTAATTCCTTTTTTTACTATTTATTATCAAATAATAATTTTGAAACGTCCTGATGATGAACTTTTCCATTATGTATAAAAATACTATTACTCAAATCGTCAGTGAAACGTGCTAACCTGCTAACTCCATTTTTTACGTTAATAAGTTTTTTTTATACCATTAGAAAGAGAAAAAAATCCTCTATAAATAGGGAAAGCAAATACATTTTTTTCCATTAAAGAAAATTTGCTACTTTAACTCAATAAAATCTGCTAACTCCCAATGATCGGAAATAACCACCGAAATGCTGCTATCTCCGTAATTTTCGTTACGATCACGCTAAAGGAAACACACGGATTCTTATTCGTATGTTTCTTTTGTACAGTACGTCGATCCAGGGTCGCAGTAGGCCAAAGGGATCCGGGTGGCAAAGTAAGGAGGGGCCCGTGTGGATTTTTTTTGTATATTTTTTCGCCTTACGTTTTAGTCATTTTTTCCCTATTATATACAGGGTGACTCTTAAATAAGTGCAAATATTTTTAGGGGTAGTATATTTCTACCCAAGAAACACGATTATGAGGTTTTTTTTTAATTTGGATTTTAAAGAAAAAAAAATTGGAATTTTTTTTCATTTTTAGTTTAAAAGCATATTTTGTTTGTAATATGGCAACATAGGTAGTAGATTAAATTTACAAGAAAGAAAATCCAATGATTCTCAAAATTTTAAAAGTGTAATAACTCGGTTGTTTTGGATTTATTTGAAAAACGGTAAAGAGAAAATATTATGTTTCTTTTATCGAGATTTACCAGCCCTGAAAATATTTGCACTTATTTAAGACTCACCCTGTATAGAAATCAGGGAACTACCCTCCTGACGTCATTTCATTTTATGTTCGATTTATACACATGATTTGAAATAAAGTTTATTAAAACACAAGGAAAAACATACATAAAGCCTAAAAGCGAAGACACACAAAATCCTGCCAACTACAGACCGATTACATGTTTACCTACCCTGTATAAAATAATTATTACGTCTCTAATAACACAAAAGATTGACAATCACCTAACACAAAACGACATAATACTAGAAGAACAGAAAGGATGTCGAAAAAATAGCCGAGGATGTAAAGAGCAGATCATTATAGATACTATCATTATGAAACAAATAGAGAAGCAACAACGAAATATGAACACATGCTATATAAATTATCAAAAAGCTTTCGACAGTATCCCACATATCTGGCTAATAAAGACACTAGATATATATAAAATAAAACATCACATTCAAAAATTCCTTTACACCATAATGCAGACCTGGAGAACAACAATACAGCTCAATACAAATGAACATCATATTGAAATAAAAGACATTAAAATTAACAGAGGGATATTTCAGGGTGACTCTCTGAGCGCTCTGTGGTTTTGCCTCTGCCTCAATCCCCTTTCAAACCTACTAAACGCCACAACTTACGGAGTTAAAATAAAATATGAAAATAAGTGTTACTATAAAATAAACCACTTGTTATACATGGATGACATAAAAATATTCGCCCCAGATCAAAAGGAAATGAGATTATTACTAAATTTAACAGAACAGTTTACACAAGATACATGCATGCAGTTTGGTATAAATAAATGCAGAATTCTCCACATTGAAAAAGGAAAATATAAAGAGCACATCGAAACAGAAAAACTAAACAATCAAATACTAAAAAATATGGAACCACAAGAAACATACAAATACCTTGGTTTCGAACAAAATACAAATATAGATCACACATACCTTAAGAATCAATTAAAAACTAAATACAAATACAGACTTACACAAATAGCTAAGTCAAAGTTGAATGCTAAAAATATCACAAAAGCGATAAATAGTTATGCCATCCCAGTTTTAACATATTCATTTGGCATTGTTAAATGGTCAGAAACAGACTTGGAAGCATTAAACCGCCTGAATCACACATTAATAGAACATCGTAAACTACATCCAAAGGCATGCATCGAAAGAATCACATTAAGTAGGAAGGAAGGAGGAAGAGGCTTAGTAGATATAAAAGTACTACATAATACACAAATAGAAAACCTAAGGAAATATTTCAGAAATAAAATAACACTTCTTCATCGAGTAATTCTAATAGCAGATAAGCAGTACACTCCGCTCAACTTAAACAAATATAATACCGGTGATAATGCTGAGGAAAATAGATGCACAAATCCAAAACAAGAAAAGAAAGATACCTGGGCAGGTAAGGCACTTCACGGGACGCATTATGCCATAATGCAAAACTCACAAATAGATGTAGGATTATCATACAAGTGGTTGTCGGTAGGGCAACTATTCCCTGAAACTGAAGGGTTTCTGTTAGCCATTCAGGACAGAGTCATAGCAACCAAAAATTATAGGAAATATATACTGAAAGAGAGAATGGATACAGACAAATGTCGAAAATGTCAGCAGTATAAAGAAACAATCGAGCATATAACGGGGGGTTGCAAAATACTAGCGGGAACAGATTACATTGATCGACATAACACGGTAGCGAAGATAATCCATCAAGAACTCGCACTCAAATACAGCTTAATGACAACAAGGTTGCAATATTATAAGTACACTCCCGAAAACATAATGGAAAATGAAACACATAAACTGTACTGGGACAGAACAATCCATACAGATAAAACAATAATAAACAATAGGCCTGACATAACACTGATCAATAAAATAGATAAACAAACATTTATTATCGATATCGCTGTACCCAATGACAGCAATGTAACATCAAAAGAAAGAGAAAAAATTGAAAAAAACACACCACTTGCTATAGAAATTCAGAAAATGTGGAAACAAAATAAAGTAACAATTATACCTATAGTTATATCAGTAACAGGTATAACTACAAAAGCATTCTCTCAACATATACAATCAATAGATCTACCCCCATATATTCACACTAACATGCAGCAAAGCCAATCCTAAAAACTACAACTATAGTAAGAAAATTTATGCAATAGAGAGACATACGACTTGGTGTTAACCCGTCATATACTCTAAAACCGCAATAGTGAGTAACTAGAAATATAATAATAATCCCCACAAAACTGCTTCAATCACTAAAGGAATTAAAACTTCAGCACAATCTCTATATTGAGTTACAAAAAGCAAGCATACTATCCTCATGCCACTTAGTAAGAAAGTTCTTACAATAGGAAGCTAACTTGTCTTAGACCGTATCTCCTTAAAACCGATTTAATCGTGCTAAACAATAAAAAAAAATAATAATAAATAATGTCTGGTCGATGGAGGTACTGTTGCCAGCAGTATTTACACCGCTATCGTATGCGGAGGCGATACAACCAGCGCCGCCGGCTATCCGCTGTCCACTTACCTGAATCCTCTCTTTCCATCATCACCACCTATCCGTACATATCCCGCCATACTTACCTTTTCATCCTTTTACCTTCTTTTCCTCCTCCCCGGGGAGTTAACCTCGTTAAAAAAAATCCTGCAAGAGATGGTTAAATACCTTACGTGTATGGCAAACACGCAGCCTCTAGCTGACCGCAAGGAAAGGTAACGTTACCTTACGTGCTCTGACAAGCACGCGGATTCTTGTCAACCACCATACAGGGCTAACCACCCTTTGGTGTGTACGTGGTTCCTCAAAAATTAGGAATAGCCTCGGACGAGCGACGCCATGGTCGAGGGCGGCGCGGGAATCAACAGCTCGATCAAATGGATACAGAACCGGAGACCGAAAATGGACCCACTGAACGTGTTTTGCCTGGTCAACAGGCAACCACCAAGGAGGGAAAACCCCGGCAACGTATGGCTTGGACACGAGAAATGAACACCACTGTCATGCGCTGCTACTACATCGCTACAAAACTAGAAACATTCAAGATAGGATACAGATCAGACTTGCTATTTATACAAGAATACCCAGAACTAACACACATTGTCACACCACAAAGACTTGTAGACCAAAAACGTGTAATTTTAACAAACAAAAGACTTACAGATCAGGAAATTCAGACCATTAAAGAAGAAATCGCTGCCCAGTTAAACACATACTAACCAGAAGAACATAACTTACCAGAAGAACTTATCCAAACAGAAATGCAACCAACCCAAACAACAACTCAACAAATAAAAATCATAGAAACTCCATCAACTACCACAGTGCCAAGACCACAAATAAAAACATTACTAAGCGCTGAAGGAATATAAAACGAATTACAAGAAAATATAATTAAATGGACAGGAATCGATCCAATAAATCGGCCACCATTACCAAAACTTATATTTAAAAAACACACGAACAACATTATTAATACAGTCAATACCTTAATAAAAGAAGAAATAGAGAACACAGTCACATTAGAAGACCTTCATCTTCTGGTATATGCATCCGCTACAACGGTGATAATACAAAATAAACAACTTAGAGACAACAAAAGAAACTGTAATAGAAAGCAACTGAAACCTACTTGGCTTATTAGGATAGAAAAGAGAATAGAGAATATAAGGAAAGATCTAGGTAGATTGACACAATATTGCAGGGGAAACCGATCAAAACAAGTCATAAAACAATTAAAGCACATTATCAATAAAAACAACAATGAAACACCAATAGAAGCATTAGATACATTAAAACAAAAGTTAGCTGTATACTCTACTAGACTAAAAAGATACACCGAATCTAACGAAAGAAGGAAACAAAACGCACAATTTAATGCAAGTCAAAAACTATTTTATACCAGCCTGACCAAACCAACACATAATCCAATATTACCTCCAAATGCAGAAGAAATCAAACAATTTTGGGAAAGTATATGGTCAAGCCCAATAACTCATAACGAAAGTGCCCCGTGGATTGAAGAAGAACAAAATAAGTACAAACGTATACGACAACAAGCAAATCCTACATTTACAATAGAAGAGCTAACTAAAACCATACAAAAAACCCACA